GAGTCTGGGATATTAGTGATCAAATGGATATAGAACTGCTTTCTAAGAACAAGTCCTTAGGCTGGTTATCCAAGAACAAAATTGTTTTTCAGTCCAAGAAATATTTAGAAATAAACCTGTCTCAATCTCTTAGAAAGGCTTTTACCAGACTCAGATTCAAACTGCTGGAATCCATGACCAAACATGGTTGCTTCCTTCAATCGCCTTACCACAAAAGAATTTGTATCTGTGGTGCCCCCACTGCTGAAGATATTACACATATTTTGTGTGTGTGTGTGCTATATTCCACTGCTAGGAAAAACTATTTATCCGTTCTGTTGGGGAAAACAGCCCATTGGAATGTAAACTTTAGACTTTCGTATTTTCTTCAGAATGCCAATACAAAAGTTGTCCACAATATAGCAACATTCATATCTAAGGCAATGGGCAGAAGATCACACTACTTTGATCAAATAGGGGTTCCCTGCAGGGGGTGACTTGCTCAATTAAAATATGTACATGTGGTTTTATATTTTACTATTGAAATGCATTTTATCTCTTTTTAGCTGTTTACTTTGTATCTTGTGTGTGTGTGCTATATTCCACTGCTAGGAAAAACTATCCGTTCTGTTGGGGAAAACAGCCCATTGGAATGTAAACTTTAGACTTTCGTATTTTCTTCAGAATGCCAATACAAAAGTTGTCCACAATATAGCAACATTCATATCTAAGGCAATGGGCAGAAGATCACACTACATTGATCAAATAAGGGTTCCCTGCAGGGGTGACTTGCTCAATCAAAATATGTACATGCAGTTTTATATTTTACTATTGAAATGTATTTTATCTCTTTTTAGCTGTTTACTTTGTATCTGTGCTTTTTTATATGGTCAAAATGACTAATTAAATAAATAAATACCAATAGTGGCTGAAAATACAAGCTTTTTTTGGCTAAGGGCAAAGAAGCAGGACTTGGAGAACAGCGGGTTAGATGGAAAATCCACGTGGGCTTTTTCTTGCCATTGGATCAGAGTTCCTGGTGGGCTTTTTCTTGCCCTTGCATAGCTGACCACATAAAAATCTACTCAGAAAGGTAAATGCTGGTACAAACCAGTAAATTTTTTAGTGGGAGGATGGACCTCAAAGAGCAAAGTATTCTGCAACATGGGATCAACCAGCACTTTGTCCTTCTCTCATTTTGACCAGCTGTGCCACAATTGCTATGCTACCCTACAGATGAGGTAAAAAAAAAGTTAAGAAACATAAAACATGTTGCATCAGTACATTCATCCTCAAGTATGTGCATCACTTATTAAAGTCAGCGGTTTACACTAAACTGAGGGGGTAGGATGTTGACCCTTATGTTGACCCTTCTGGATGATTGTGCCAAAATCCTGCTCTGAAAAATCCCTTATGGTACCGTTTACAGCCTAACTTAAGAGAATTCTGTATCCATGAAGAACATCTTTTTTACTTGGAAGAACAGAAATGTTAAGACAATTGCTATGCTACCCTACAGATGAGGTAAAAAAAAAGTTAAGAAACATAAAACATGTTGCATCAGTACATTCATCCTCAAGTATGTGCATCACTTATTAAAGTCAGCGATTTACACTAAACTGAGGGGGTGGGATGTTGACCCTTACGGATGATTGTGCCAAAATCCTGCTCTGAAAAATCCTTATGCTACTGTTTACAGCCTATCTTAAGAGAATTCTGTACTTTATTACTTGGAAGAACAGAAATGTTAAGGCCAATGTTAATACTTGCTGCCAGCACAAGCATGAAGGCATAATAGCAATGGAGAATTGCTGCTAATTAACAAATTGCCACTTGTATCCCTTCTCAGACAACAATACATGGGACTAGTGTGCAAAGACGGATACGAATGGTGACTTGGTAATTAGCAGTAATTTGCCACGGTCATGCACACCACTGCATTTATGCCAACATGCTGTATCCATGAAGAACATCTTTTTTACTTGGAAGAACAGAAATGTTAAGACCAATGTTAATACTTGCTGCCAGCACAAGCATGAAGGCATAATAGCAATGGAGAATTGCTGCTAATTAACAAATTGCCACTTGTATCCCTTCTCAGACAACAATACATGGGACTAGTGTGCAAAGACGGATACGAATGGTGACTTGGTAAATAGCAGTAATTTGCCACTGTTATGCACACCACTGCATTTATGCCAACATAACTAATAGAATTCCAAAACCATCTCCGTAAGTAGAGGGTCCACTGTAATAGAATTCCAAAACCATATTTAGAATAATTCAGGATAGTGAGACACATGACATTGAAACAAGGTCTCCTGAAAGACACAGTGCTGTCTTCTTGATATGAACAGGAACGTGAATGGGATTTGGAGAGCTATGGGTTGAAAACAGGCAATCTCAGAATTATCCACTGTGACTGGCAGTCATAGCAACATTTCAAAATATCTAAAGGCAACATACTCCAGTGGCTATGTTTAACTGAAAAAAATGCTACTCTGAGAGGATTTTTTTTAAAAAAAAAAATCACATTAAAGTCAATTTCCTACTTAAGATTATAAACCAGAACATTCACTTGTTAATCTCTAAATGATCATGGTAAGATTCCTCCTCAGAAAAGTAAAGGCTTTTTAAAATGTTTATTTATTTATCTGTAGGTACAGTAAAACATTATAGCTCACTGCTTTTGTTTTCTTTCCTTGCTGTCAGTTAAGGATGAAATGTAATGTACTAAAACTGACAAAAATAAATCAGCTTTTTGTTGCACTTGCCAAGAAAGGATGAGCTATATTCCCATTTGTTAAATTCAACGTCAACTTTTGCTTACCTCAAATGACAGTATTTCCACTGGCAACTCTGCTGTATTGAGTTCATCAACCTTATGTCTTTCCACACAACTGCTGGATGCATGGAGGAAATCAAGGCCCATAGTTGTTTCAAGACAGGCTTCCCCAAATTGGTATCTTTTCAGAATACGGGAATTCTAGTCCAACAGGTTGAGTGATTCTGTTTTAAGACAATACAGTGGTGCCTCGCTTAACGAGCGCACCTCAGAATGACAAAATCGCATAACGATGAGGTATTTGTAATCGCAAATGCGATCGCATACCGATGGCCCCTATGGGCAAAACTCGCATTGCGAAGATCGGTAAGCGTTTCGCTTACCGATCTTCGCATTGCGATGTCAGGGGAACAGCTGATCAGCGGTTCCAAAATGGCAGCCAGAAGCCACCAAAAAGGTCACGCGCAGCGTTTTCGCGCCCTGCCCTCGCTTACCGAGGGCGTGAAAATGGCTGCCGGACCCTGGAAACATCGCTGAACGGTGAGTTTTTTGCCCATTTGGACCGCATTAAACATCGTTTAATGGGCTTCCCCGTTCCGTACAGCGATGTTTTCACATAGCGAGGGTTAATCCGGAACGGATTAACCTCGCTATGCAAGGCACTGTACCATACATACGAGCCCTGTGGCACACTGCAGTCAAGTCTCTATGACCTGAGTTGGATCCCAATGGGACCAGGTAGCAGGCTCAAGGTTGACCAGCCTTCCATCTTTCCAAGGTCAGTAAAATGACTACCCAACTCATTGGAGACCAAATGTTTCTTCCATAATTATGCTGTAAACTGCTCAGAGAGTGCTCTAGTACTATCAGGTGGTATACGAGTTATATAATAACATACACAGGACAGGGCTGATTAATCTGCACCAATCCACCCTAAGTATATTAAAATATAATTACCAGAAAGCAATCCAAATGAGTCACGGTGGGAATTACGTTTCAGTAAACATGAACAGGAATATGCTGCACACATAAGGTTATAGCACAATGAGATCGATCAAAAGAATGGTTCAATGGCCAAGGCCAAATCCAAATAAAAGTTTCAATTCTAACAGATTTCAAGCAACCCCGGAGCTAGGCCAAAACATTTTGCTGCCTTTTAGGGAGATGAAACTTTACTTTCCATGAAGGAAAACAATACCCAAGGCTAATATATTTTGGTATTCTGAGGGGGATGATCCCACAAATACTCACCTGTCCCTGCCAGTAAAAATGCAATATTAAATTAAGTCCCAAATTCTTTTGTTAGTCCCATGTTAGTGTCCAACCAATGACTAAAATCCAGCAGTGAGTCACGATGAGAGTAAGTCTCTAAAGATTTGGTGACTCAACTCCTCTAATTTCTATTCAATGGGCCTACTCAAATTGTGACGTACTACAGAATTTCAGCCATTGAATCAGTTACTGAATGGGGGAGTCAACAGTATAAATCCTACTGATCCAATAAGGCCTACTCTGCTTTGGGCTGCTACTTAGAATCTGGTTCTTTCACCCCAGATAAATTACGTAATAGTAAGGCAACCCATTAACTTGGTGAGTTAGATATCTGGCTGAGGAGCCAAAGGTTGGGAGTTCAATCACCAACTTGCCTCCTGTGTAACTGTTAAAGATGCAGTACCACCCTCTTTTCTGAATCAGGATACAAAACAAAAGCATTGCTGTTCCAATTCTGAAGCTGAAATAGTTTTAGAATGGGTTTGCATTCATTTGCCTAGCTGGTTTAGTGCGCCTCCACTATACCACTCTTACACAATCTCATCTGATTTTGGTAGCTAAGCAGAGTAAGTTCTTGTTGGTACTTGGATGAGAACCCACCAGGTAATGTCAGGGGTCTCTAGATAGGGCCAAGAAAGAATCCTGCCTGAAACCTTAGAAAGCAGCTGCAGGTCAGAGTTGGTAGTACTGGACTTAGAAGGATCAGCAGTCTGGCACAGTATAAGGCAGCATCTCATGATCGTGTCTTCATCTTGCATTTGGAAGTTGAGATGGAGCAACTCTATTGGTCAGTCACTTTCTGCAGAAGGTTTATTTTTGTGTACAAGTACATTGTAAGATAGGGTTGCATGGCCTCAATAAATTTATGGCAAGTACTTTAACATCCTGACCAATCAGCACATACAGTGGATGAAATTCTTTATGCAAAGGTTGAAAACTACCAGGAAGAAATCCTAAACGACCATTCATTAGTGTAGAGTGTTTATTTCCTTCTCATAATTTGTGGCCAGTTCCTTTGACAAGACAGAATTCATTCTGAAATGAACTTACACGTAAAAGTACATAAAAAGGCAATGGGCTTCAATTTAGTGCCGTTATCTTACTGATGCACATTGCTAAAGCACATGCACAATTCATAATTTGAAAACTATGTATGAGGCTCCCCTCTTTACATGGGTTCATAACCTTCTTCTGAGCATAGGAGGGGGAATGACCCTACTAGCAGCCCCTTTACAAAAAGACAAAATAAAGTAAAACATAAAACCACCAACTAAATATATTATTATTTTGGCTTGCTTGCTTCTAATATTGATTAGCCAAGTATATAAATCTTGTATATACACAAAGGAAAATATACAGCACCAAATGATAACTAGTGTCCTCCTGACAACAAAAGAAACAGAATAAAGGTTTAAAACTTGCAACCAAGAAGAGCACATACTGATCAAAGTGCCTTCAAAGCTATTAAGAAAAAGACACAATTTTTTCCCATTTAACCAGATTCCATCGGTAGTCCATGAGATATTTCTTCATGTGGTTAAAAAAATCCAATTAGAGTGGAAGCTTTTTCCAATTATCTTTTAGGCCGGTCTATGTCATCGATAGCTGCTAACAATTTCTGCTTCGCTTTTTTGTTGATGTGGGTTCCCAGGCAAACATTCACCAGGTTAGTCAATTGCTTGGTGGAATATTCCTAGCCAAAGAAAGCAAATGACAATTTTAGTTTCAAGCAAATCAAGCAAAACTACCCAGGAAAGTCCCATATACTTTAAAGATGGATGGATGGATGGATGGATGGGATGGATGGATGGATGGATGGATGGATGGATGGATGGATGGATGGATAGCTCAGTGAGTTGGGAGTCCAGTTCCCACCCTGCATTACAGGAGAAGAGCCGGTTTATGTGTCCATGGGCAAGGTGCAGTGTCCCAGGATGCCCCCAAAATAAGGGAGTGGTAAATCACTTCTTGAAGACAGGAGGGGCTGAGAAGACAGGAGGGCCTGGTGTGCTCTGGTCCATGGGGACACGAAGAGTCGGACACAATGAAATGACTAAACAACAACAAATCACTTCTGCATATTTTATCTAGAAGACCTTGGAAAGGGCCACGATAACTCCAAATCGACTTGATGGCACACGACTTTAACAACACCGTAACACATCAAAAGAAACATTGTTTCTCTCTCACACACTCTTTCTGTTTTTCAAATGTAATTGTTGAACTATCCAAAAGCACAAGCCTGTTGAAGGACATAGCTACCTATTTAAACTGAATTCTTTCTTCCTCTAGATACTGCCAGGATATTTGAATATATACCCAACATACATAAGCTAAGACCGGAATCTTGCTTTCTGAAAAAAATATTGAAAGCCACGGATATCTGCAATTGTGAAGCTTAGAAGGGTGTTGTGTTGTAACTATGGGAAGATGATAATAGGAAAATAGTAAAAATCTCAGTCAAGCACTGGACAGAATTCCATGAATGTTTAAACATCTTAAGGCACTTAAAATTTATTTTCCATACTTCTGGGAAAAATATGTGACACTGGCTAAGACCTAAAACAACTATGAAAACAGATACTTTTTGAAAAGCTGCTTTAACAAATCTGTTTTTAGTGTTTCTGCTCACATGTCCCATTTAGCTTTACCTAAAGGATTTGAGAACAAATTACCAGTACTGTATCTGATCAAAAGAAACAAAACTTTGTAACTCTCTCTCTCTAAAATGTTTTTAAAAGATAATTGTTGAAATACAAAAAGACAAACTTGTGCCAGGACATTGCTGCCTATTCAAACAGAATTCGCTCTTTTTTTCCAGACTCTGTGAGGATGTTTGAATTATTATTTAACAGAGGTAAAGCTCTTAATGTTCTCTTGGGTAAAGAACAAGGGTGGAAATGCTCTCAAAGTGGGTTTATGCATATCCAAGAAAAGTAAACGGCTAGCCAGACTGGGAGTAATCCGAAACTACCAACCGAGAGTGCTTTTTCTGAAAGTTCTAAAATTGCAGCCACGGACAGCTCCAGCCAGCACATGAGGACAGCAACCTTGTTTACAAACTGTGATAACCATGGAAATATGTGCAAAAATAGTGCAAAAAGAGCCCAACGTCTAACGTAACTATTCAGGTTTTGGCACAGGACGCTTGGAAGAAGAAAAAAGGCTGAAGATTTGTGGATGATGTGGGAAGAAAAAAAAAACCCTATGCCTCTGAAGATGTTTTGGCTTGATTACCCAGAGTTTAAAAAAACATGTGTAAACGTAAGAACTGAGATTTACAGCTTAATTTTTCTACTTTTGTTAGATGATGAATTGGTGACCTTTGAGGCTTCTGTGCACTGTGTGCCACAGATGTCTCGGTGAGTGAGAAAGGCTAAACACAGTTCTGGCACATGCGTTTCATTTTGTTTCCAGGTCTAGTATAGCATATGGTGTCCTTTCCAGCTTGTTACCACCCAGAATTTCTCATAAACCCACTACGACTTGTAGTTCTAATGCATCGTAAATAGCGCATAAATATTCAGCACTTAATTTGTCAGTCTCATAAGATATGGTTGTTTTACATACCCTTCCACCCCCACCCTCTTTGCCTGACTATATAACACACTCCAAGTAGTTTATTAGTTACAGTATATGATCAGAAGCCCTTGTGTCTACAATGCTAAACATAGGTGAAATGTGCTGAATATGCCTTAGAGGTAGATAAAATCAGTTCAAGCAAAGCTGGGTCTTGATGATTGTGACTTTCAACCTCATGGCACAGTTTTCCTAAAGGAGAAAGATTTCATGCAACTTAAAGTAATTTAGTTCCTGTAACTCAATGTAACAGGAGAAGAATTTCTTTCAGTGTTCAGTGACAATAACTGGAAGGTTTAAATAGAAACTGGAATTAAATACAAGAGAGACTTCAAACACACCACTCCCTCTCCAGCCAATGACAAGAACCAAGTATGTTCTTACTCTGTGTTCCTTGATCCAACGCTCCATGTCATTTTCAGTCAAATAGTAAGCTTTGATGTAGGTCTCCACAAATTCCTTGTCTGGAATAGGTCTGATATCTGTCAGCTTCTCCAGCTTCATGAGAAATTGCTGGAAGTCCAGTTGCATCAAGGCACGACCCTCATTGCTACACTTCTTGACATTTGCATAACTATGACAGATATATAACAGATTAGTAAAGTGTTCCTGATTATCATGTGGCAATTATACTAATGGTCTGTTTTTTTGTGGAGGATAATTCAATGTGGGCCAAAGTTAAAAGATATAAAGGAATACTATCAAAGATACTGCTGGGGATATTGTCTGGACCAGAAATTGTTTAGCGGTTGTTATTCAACCAGGGAATAAATTTGAATTGCATCCAAACAGTGTAAAATAACTATAATACATCTATATTTACAAACATTTATATTCCTCAAAGATACTGGAAGAATTCTGTAGGGTTGTGGCAACTGCTTTTCCTTGGCAATCAAGCTCTCCATGGTTTGGGACCTTGTTACCATCTGCCATCAGACCCTCCTAGCAACGTTAGCCACCCCGAAGGAGGCCAGGAAATCATCTATGAGAAATTAGGCCTTTTTGGCAGTTGCACCAACTTTGTGGAACCGGCTCCCAGTTGAGCTGCTCCTGCCCCTCTCCTTCCCCACTTTCAAGAGGTTGCTGAAGCCGTTGCTCTTCAGAGAGGCTTCTGAATGCAACTGCAACTGAATTTCATTTGTTTCATGCCCTGCTGCTTTTAATATGTATATTTTGTGCTGCTTGTGGTATGAAGCTACTCAATTTCGTTGGTTTTGTTCATTCTTTATTTTTATCATTGCTATTATCATGTGTTTGTTTGATTGACTGATTATGTTGTGAACTACCCAGAACAGTGCCAGGTACTAGTGGGGTAATGTATAAATGAAAGAGATGAAGAAATGTAAATAAATAACAAATTGAGGAAGGTAGAGTTTTTACAAATAAATAATACTCTTATGCGCAGACCGTGGCTACAAGCTTAGGGTCATTTTAAAGAACCTATTCTCCATGGTAAAGGTAAAGGTTCCCCTTGACAATTTTTGTCCAGTCGTGTTCGACTCTAGGGGGCAGTGCTCATCCCCGTTTCCAAGCCACAGAGCCAGCGTTTTGTCCGAAGACAATCCTCCGTGGTCACATGGCCAGTGCGACTTAGACACGGAACGCTGTTACCTTCCCACCGAGGTGGTCCCTATTTATCTACTCGCATTTGCATACTTTCAAACCACTAGGTTGGCGGGAGCTGGGACAAGCAACGGGAGCTCACTCCATTGCGTGGATTCGAACTTACGACTGCTTGGTCTTCTGACCCTGCAGCACAGGCTTCTGCGGTTTAGCCCACAGCGCCACCACGTCCCTTTGCATACAAGATTCTCCATGACCTGTATGCAAAGTCATTACTGTTACTGTAAAACTTGGAAAGAACCTTGAGACCATCTTCCTCAAGACTGAAGAAGCTCTACCTAAACAAGCTCCTTTCATCCATATTTAGGGCATCAAGACGAAAGGCTTGATGCACCAGGTACAATGAGGCAGAGGACACCAAGAAGTGTGCTCAGAAGTTTATCTTTGGAACGCTTATGATAATTCACTTACCCTTCTACAAGAGTTCTATTGGCTAGTCGTATACAGTGCTCCCAAAGAATATTTGACACAGGCAATGGAATACGGACCCTCTTAGAAACCTCATTCATTCTCCTGTTAAACTGTTCAAATTCCTAGTAAAATGCCAAAAACATATTGGTAATTGGTAGTGAAACATAAAGATACCTGATTAGCAATGCACACATACTAACATGTTTCTATTACAACTTGGCATACTTGAGCACTGATTTACTACAGCTTTCCATATCTTTGGTTTGGATGAGCTAAACATTAAAATGGGGAGCATTAGTCTGAAATAAAGCCTTGACGGTATGTATTGTTTCATAAAAAGCATCTCCCACTATCAATGCTTTCTCTCCAAGAAATGTAGGGGAAATTGAAGGCAAAAGATTGTACCCAGACTTGGAGAAGATACACTGAAATCAATGGGACTTCAATCATCACCAACACAAAACCCATTGATTTCAGTGGGTCTTTTCTCATTATGAAAACCTTGGATCCATCCGCAGATAACAGTATTGACCCCATTTTGCCAAAACGCCATTGGACATCTATTTTAGTGTTTAGAGTTTAGCTTTAAGTGACTGTGCTGGCAACTGAGTTCATGGGTCAAATTCTCATTTGATGAATGGGTTGGCAAAATGAAATTAGAAAGCCATTTGACTGAGGATAATCCCTCAATTGAATCCAAAGACTCAACTCTTATGTCCATTTACTCAGAAGGAAGCCCAATCAAGAACAGTGAAACTCCCCCCCCCACAAGTAGCCATGCTTTGGATTTCACTCTAAAAGGGCTAGTGCTTTAAAGTCTCAAACATTGATATTCTTTAGTAGATTATCAGAAGTCATAATGAAATGGACACTGAAAGATGGATCGAAATAGCAGATTACCATTTAAGATCAACTTGACCATATTCTGTCAACACTGAGTATTAAATAAGCTTGGGTTTTCTTCTCCCTTTGCTGTTTTATGCAACAAGCTTTTCATGTTTGCAGCCAAGAGAACATTACCATGTCTTTGGTCCGGATACACAGTAACTCAGAAATGAATTAAACCTGTGTGAAGGACAGTCTCCTGCTCCTGGCACATCAGTCATAAATCTTTATCTTTAATAATGTACTGAAAAGATGCATATTTAGCTATAACAACATCTAACAAGACCAACATACAAAACTGAATGAAGCAGAATATCCAAGAAACAGTGTGTTGCATGGAATATACAACACAGCAGTTACAGATTTTTTTTGTTAGCAAATATAAATGAATTCAAGAAAAAAAATATTTACTTTTAAAAGGGAATCTACATAAATATTGTGTTGTGACATGATTTCTTTCACATCCCATTTCACGTTTGCCATTAAAAGCAGCATCTGTTCATAATCAATTGCTTTAGCAGCAACAATCCAGTATATCGGTTTACGCAGTTCACTGGCCGTTGAAACCGTCTGAAAAACAAAGTCAAGCAATTTAATGAACAGCATATTTTAAAAAGCTAAAATATAAAATATTTCAATATAGTTTATCACTGCGTGGTATTATAGACGGTGTCACTCAGGAACGTACATGCTTTCTACACCTAAAATTGTTAAGCCGTGGAGAATTCTAACCTGTGAATAGAATTGCTGAAGAAAAGGTTTCTTGGCTGGAGGCATTACAGTATCAAGATGAGGTTGGAGGAATTCAAATTGCTCAGCTAAAAATACTCTGAAAAACAAAACACACAGACAAAATTCCACTGTGATCTGAGCACAACATACAAAAGGTTGACTCTCATTTGCAGTGGGCAGACAATGAAGCCATGTGGGAACCTCAGTTTTGGATCCTGCAGATCCAAAACCTATGAAGTCCTCATATGGCTACTACCACTCATGACTTTCAAGAGAGATTAGTCAATTTCATGAACATTACACCTGTCTGTGGATACTAGTCAAGATGGCTACAAAGAGCTTGGAAAGCTGGCCATGCTAGCTGCAGGATTCTGGAAGTTGTAATAAAAAGCTATATGCTATATAACCAGGCCTCTAAACATCACTTTTTAAGAAACAATGGCCATCTCACTTGTCAATATGGGAAACAGGATCCTGGACTATATAGGGCTGTGGCCCAATTCTACAAGGCTTTTTTTACATTATCTATTAATAATGGTAATTTTGAAAGTAAACACAGACTCTATAGAAAGTCTTCCAAAGATCCCAGAGCCATGCTAGCTGCAGGATTCTGGAAGTTGTAATAAAAAGCTATATGCTATATAACCAGGCCTCTAAACATCACTTTTTAAGAAACAATGGCCATCTCACTTGTCAATATGGGAAACAGGATCCTGGACTATATAGGGCTGTGGCCCAATTCTACAAGGCTTTTTTTTACATTATCTATTTAATAATAGTAATTTTGAAAGGAAATACAGACTCTACGGAAAGACTTCCAAAGATCCCAGAGCTTTATCTCAATGACAAAGTACTTTCAGATTGTTTCTGAATTTTATAAGATAGCTTCATTTGTATAAATACACAAACAAATCTAAACCATCTATGGAAATGATGCACACAGAAAAACAAAAGGGAGACATTTTGAAAAGACAAGCATAGTTAACAATGCCATTTTTACTGCAATCAAAACAACTCAGTATAGCTGGACTAGGTCCACCATTTTAAAGCTGATAAAGACATCCTTATGAGGCTATGACCTGTGGGCCAAGAGTTGATGTAATATTACTCTCATTTCTGTTATCTAAACGTTTGAATAGAAATGCTAAATTTCCACAATTCTTTCTTTTTACTGCCACTGCTAAATTAGTTCTTTCCCCACTCCATTAAAAATAAGATAGTCTTTCTTTTTACTGCCACTGCTAAATTAGCTCTTTCCCCACACCACTAAAAATAAGATACAGTGGTGCCTCACAAGACGAACACCTCGCAGGATGAAAAACCTGCAAGACGAATGGTTTTTTGCGATCGCTATGGTGCCTCACAAGACGGCTTCTTCTATGGCCATGCTTCGCAAGATGATTTCCCCCCCCCCAAGACCGATGCCTCGCTCAAGATGAAAATAATTCATTCATCTTGCGAGATTCCCATAGGAATGCATTGCAATGCATTCCTATGGGAAACTGATTTTCGCAAGACGAAAATTTCACAAGACAGCGCTACTCGTGGAACAAATTACTTTTGTCTTGCGAGGCACCACTGTATTCTTTCTATTAAATGAACAAACGAGTTCCAAGTATACAGCCATTTAAATGACTTGGGTTCAGGCTATTTGAAGGAGTGCATTTGAGCGTTCTGAGGATGTGTACCTTGTCTTGCGAGGCACCACTGTATTCTTTCTATTAAATGAACAAACGAGTTCCAAGTATACAGCCATTTAAATGACTTGGGTTCAGGCTATTTGAAGGAGTGCATTTGAGCGTTCTGAGGATGTGTACCATCAATATATGTCTTGCGAGGCACCACTGTATTCTTTTTATTAAATGAACAAACGAGTGTACGATCAATATATCAATATGTGTACCATCCTCAGAAGCACATTTGTTGGAAATATGAGAAAGAAGCTTTTGGTTAGGTGCCCTCAAACCACAGATGTCAGGCTGTCTGTATTCCTTTCTCTTGAGGCAAGCTTTTTGCAAATGATTGGCTGCTGCTTTTAGAAGAAGGGATTTTAATGGGTGGATACTTTATTATTTTTTTCTAATGACATGCATTTCAACTGCTTAATGTAACTGTATTATTTTGGGGGATACAGGAGACTTGATATAGACATATGCACAGAGCACAATTCATCTCCAGTGTATTTTCCCATATCTTCCCTTGTTCTAGATCTACTTAGGTTGCAAATCTCCACACGGGATTTCATGACTGTTACATTTTTTTAATATCCAGTATAGCATGTTGGTGTTTTTTTGTTTTTTTGTTTTGTTTTTTTAACATTCTTGGGACATCATCATCACACACTTATGTGGAAACAGTTACACTGATTTCTATGCTGAAGTAAATGCAGAATGTCAGTATGCTTAGCTAACCTTCCTTGAGATCAAAGACAAAAGGTTTCTAGCTCCCACACTGCCACTAGCCACGCAGACTCCTTTTCCTAGCCATGGTGCCTTCCGTCTTTTCTGTGTCTGCAGAAATAAGCCTTATAGGCTAAAGTTTTTGTTTTATGAGTGAACCTACCCAATCTTGCCTGTCACTTTGTTTCACTCTGTAATCTTGCCACTTAAAACAACCTTAATTTTATTCTAGTTATGTTTGGTCTCTTTATATAATGAAAGTGTTATATAATACAGTATTCTTGAGTATATTATCTTGTATTTAGGCTTAGAACAATTTCTGTCAGATTTTATCACCATATATTTGAAATATAGCAGGCCTGAATCTAATGGCTTACTATGACTTATTATGAAAACCATCACCATTTGGGAGACATTCCTAACTTCCAGAGCCACATCAACAGTTCATAAATGATCCTAGTTGCAAGAGCACCAAGGCCAGCAATAGAAATGTAGTACCATTCTGTTGGAATTGTGTGGTTTGACATAATTAGAAGATACACCTAATTAAAACTAGAGAGAACTAGCTGGCAAGTCCTGGAATTGTTTTCAAGTAGTAGAAAGAAATGTGGTTTGACCATTCTTAACTCACAAGGATTCAGTGGCTACTACTCTCTCTGCGAGGCCATAGAGGGTGTTGCCTGAGGTCAAGACAACAAGATGGCTGAGATGTGGGACAGGAACTTTCTCCTTCCTTTCCTCTACAGCAGTCAGAGTTCCAGGGGCATCAGAGGAGACCTCCTGTAATAATAGGAAATGAGGAGAGAAATTGGAATAACTGAAACTTCATGAGATTGGCAGCAAGTTGACATATCTGACTTCCATTTAGCTGAATTTCAACACGAGGACAGAATACTCTCAGGACCAAGATTCAAGAAACAGAATTCCTGCTATTTTAGTTTCTAAAGGACAACAATCTGACTACTAGCACTCACAAACCACCATCAGCTTCAAAGAAATGATGATCTGAGATTTGAATGGCATAATTAATAAGACACGTGCAGGTCTTACATATAAAGCTATCTTAATGCAAGGGATGTACTGTAATAGCATTTTCTCTTTCTCTCTTTACAAGATGACACTGGATTTCTATTTATAACCAAGCTGCTTGATTCTAAACAGGTGGGGAAACAGCCATCATGTGCTGCTGCCAGCAAGAAAGGGGGAAGAAGGGAAGAGAGCTGCAGATCAGCCACAGACTTTTACTCAATGGGTTGCTAACCCCACACTTTAGAACACCATCCTCCTGCCCAGTGCTTCTGGATGTGTTGGGGTAAAAATTCTACCATCCTCAGCCTGCAGCTGAAATGTCAGTTTTGTAGTCCATGGTATCTGGAAAGTGCCAGACAGAGAAAACCAGCTAATTATGTAAAAAGCCCATCTTGTGGAGTAAACAAAATGCCACTGAGGAAGCTGAGTCAACCATAGTGACATATGCCAGTCTTTAGAAAGTTTCTTTAATGAACTAATATGTTTACTGTCTGATATTAATCTAAACTAAATCAGGTACTATCACCAGAATCTTAATGAATTACAGTGGTGCCTCGCTTAGTGATTGCCTCGTCTGACAATGTATTCGCTTAGCGATGAGGTTTTTGGAGCGATCTTGCGCTCCATTTTGTGATGTTTACAATGGGAAAATTTCACATAACGAGGTTTGGGACCTTGCTTCGCTTAGCGATGACAGTTTAGGTCCCCGTTTCGCTTAATGATGTCCATTTTCGCTATTTTAAGTGTGTCTTAAAATGTTCAAAAACTGTTTAAAATGCTTGGAATTGTTAGTGCACCCTGTAAAACCTTTGCAAACTTAATTTGGCTTTGTTCTGAGTCTTCGTTAATTTTTAGTGAATTCCCCCCCCCATTGGAATGCATTGAACTGTAGGTTTGACAGCTGTCAAACAAAGCCAAATTAAGTTTGCAAAGGTTTTACAGGGTGCACTAACAATTCCAAGCATTTTAAACAGTTTTTGAACATTTTAAAGACACTTTAAAAATAGCGGAAACGGACCTGTCAAAACCATTGAAATGCATTGAATAGGTTTCAATGCATTCCAATGGGGGAACCGCGTTTCGCTTAGCAATGTTTCCTATGGCGATTTTCGCTTAAGGACGGTAATCTGTTCCCTTTGGAACGGATTATCCAGTTTTCAATGCATTCCTATGGGAATTGGTGTTTCGCTTAGCGATGTTTTCCCATAGCGATGTGTTTTTTTTAACCAATTAACATCGCTAAGCGATGCACCACTGTAGACCTTTATACAAATCTTCCAAGCTCTTGGAGATCTGAATCACTACTGAAAACTAATCTCCCTGTGATTTTATAATGAAAACATGTAAAGGTATTCACTTTTAAGATGAAGAACCAGAGCTTGGAAATAAATACTCTTGGATTGTAAGGGTATATAAGGGATTCTGGGAGCTGTAGTCCAAAAAGTAACTTTTCTGAATTCTACAAGTTCGATGCTTCTGAACAGGCTTCGTTTCTTTTTAGTAGCATCAAAAGTTAGAAATCATCTTATAAAATGTGATGCCTAATAAATTTCAGGTATTGACACAACTAAGAAAGTAGGAGACTACCACAAGACCTAGAGGAATATGTAATACAATATCAGAGCAGTAGCAGCAGGTAAAGGGGGCAGGGGAGAATAGCAGTGAACATGATGTCCTTTCGGTGGGAGTCAACATTCTCATGATTTAGGAATCTTTTAGAAAATATATTTGCCCCTGAAAGTAGTACTTTTGACCCAATAATCAAAACAGAAGGACATTTTCTTCTACACCATCAATGACACTTCAAGGGGAGAAAATGATAGGATATTAAAGAAGGAAAGAGCAAACAAAACAAAACAAAAAGCTTTTTTCGCCTCCATCAGAACACTCCTGAACAAATACAAACCATTATTCCAATACACTGATGACACACACTTGTTACCTGACCCTTGATGACATTTTCCATCTTTAGACTATCGCTCCACATGTCTACAATACCAATATACAAAGAAACATTTTATTTTTAGGATAGGAAAAGGCAAGCAGACATGGAGAAAGGGCTTCCAAAACAAAAGTAGAATTTGTTCTTTCAGAAAACTCAAAATGGGAGGGAAGATTTTCTCTCTCTCTCTCTTGAGTGTTTCACACATTCAAATGAATGACATCTTCTCCTTTCATCTTCTCCTTCATTCAACAAGAAAACAAGAAGGACCTTTGGGCAACTGACAGGTTTACAGGTGCCATTCAGAAGAAGAGGCATCAAGTGTTGGCAGCTTTTGTATGGCATTACCACTTATAATCAGAGAGAAGAAAGACAAACCATTGATTGCCATGATAGAAGCCTTCAAAAGTGTGCAATTTTCTCCACTGGGCAAAAGAATATACTTGACAAACAGCTCTCACACTTCTACTTTTGTTCTTGTCACATACTTGCTATATTTAGGCTACAAGGGCATTTTTCTTTAACCAATCCTTTAAACCAAGAAGCAAAACTACAAATCTGGAACTAAGTAAAATATAATAAGGCAGGCTGTCACAGCTTCCTCGAATATCCCAACTACAGAGAGATGTTATTCATTTCCTCTTTCCTGCCAGAAACAATGAAGATGAAAATCTAGCTAACTATGCCATGAATCTTACCAGCTACATATCTAGTGCAGTGGTGCCTTGCAAGACGTTTTAATTTGTTCCGCAAAAATCGTCGTCTTGTGAAAAAATCGTCTTGCGAGATTCCCTATGCATTGGTCTAAAAAAAAGTCTCGCGAAGCATCGGTCTTAAAAAAAGTTTTGCAAAGCACAGTCATAGAAAAAAACATCTTGCAAGGCACCATAGTGATCACAAAAACCAATCGTCTTGCGGGTTTTTCGTCCCGCGAGGCAATCATCTAGTGAGGCACCAATATATATAAATCCACTTGAAATTTCAAAACTACTTTAATATGGGTCCACATTGTGTATTTTGCATTGTATAGTGGCTCTTAAAGTAATGGGGCCATTCTCATATTCCATTATGAAAATGCATAAGAATCTAAAAGTTTCCCTTGATACTGTCTAACTATTCTCACTGATTTAAGCAGTGGCATGCTTACAACAACAAGCAATTTTTAATACTGGCAGAAACATTCCAGAAGTTTATAACATTCTTAAAGTAAGAATGAGTATATTCAAACACCTGGGCATGAGGTCTGATTTCCATTGGGAGAAATCAGAGAGATATGGGGCTTTAACCCTTTCTAATGACTTAGAATTGCTATTTCCACATTCGGAAAAGTTTTCACTAACTATTGTGGAAACTCTCCCACTCCACCTAAAAAACATAGTGCTAGTGATGGCTGCAGTAGAGGTTAAAGCCCCACTTGCCTGGGTTCTAATTTGGATTTTAGGTCCTTATGTACAATTGGATCTTGGATCAAATCAAAAGCCTTCCTAGACCAATATTTAGATACCTACAGGAAACCGTCAAGCAGGACATAAGTATGACAGTGCCCTCCAACTCTTCTTCTTTAGCATCTGCTATGCTTTTATGTTGGAGGCAATATACAGTACATAGCCCTCATGGATAGCTTTATCTTCCATGAATGTATTTGTGAGGCTACCTTAAAATTGTGGGTCAACGTACAATGAGTGCTGTCTTAACTAGTAAAAGACATATTTCTCCCAGCATGAACTTTTCTCATTTCTGCATCACCCTATTTTTCGCTCCATAAGACACACCTTTCCATAAGACGCACCAAATTTTTAGAAGAAAACAGGAAAATATAATCAGTTTTCTTCGCTCCATAAGACGCACAGACTTTCCACCCCCCTGTATTGTGGGGAAAAAGTGTGTCTTATGGTGCGAAAAATACGGTAGTTTGCTTTGCTTTATGACTGGTCTTCAGGAGGTAAACACAGGCTCCATTTGCAAGTCTGATTACTGAAGAATGCAACCCTGTGACAACTACTTTCCTGGAGAAAATGTTATCAGTTTCTAAGGGCGAGATGGGCACTTCATGGTCTCATGTAGTTTGATGCTGAGACACTTGGACAATCGAGGTTACTCTGTGTAGTAACAGTTCTCTGAAATCCCAAGTTAGCAACCTGGAATCTTTTAATAAAACATTCATGGGTCTGAACTTATGCATGCAAAGCACATGCTTTAACTATACTGCCTCACCCCAAATATTCAGCACACCCATCTTGCCATCAATCACAGGCAGCATCTTGAACAACACACACACACAGCTCACATAATGTATACAACCACTAAGACAGTTTTTTAGAGTCAGATAGAAGAAAAATCACTCCAGATGTGATTTAATGGTCTGTGCTCCATTTTCCTCAGCATACATATCCGCAGATTTAAGGGCCACTTATCCTTTAACCCTGCAGGCAGATGGCCTTAATGTTTATCTTGATTCATTCTTGATCAATATGCCAACTTCTCTCAGATCATATATGAAAGTAGACCCCAAATTGCTTATAACCAATGCAACTCCTTTTAAGAACCTGCCTTCTTTAAAGCAAATTTTGCCTTATTAAAACTAATGGAACAATTTGAAGTCAGCACCGAGCAGAAAGTCATCCAAATCCAACTTGTCAAAATGTTGACAAATAATATGGAACAGTGTGGAGGTTCTTCTGCCCAAGGCCTTGGGTCAGAAGCAGAAGTATTTGATTTAATGCTGTCCCTGTCAGCAATGCTGTCCAGGTTCAGGAAGGCTGAATTCATGCTTTATTCTGAACTGACTTTATTTGGTGGCAGGGGTGGAGTTTGTTGGAATATGTAGTTGTGCAACCCAGCATGTATGTATATGTATAGGTGTAATGCAAATGACTGGCATGTGTTATTCACATAATGGAATTTATGTAGCCACTCAGATCATGTCTGTTGTTAGCCAATGGTTATTAAGTGGGTTAACTGTCAGACGGAACAAGAAGTAATAGTTACAATGAGATTGTCCGGCCTGCTTGGTCTTCTTATTTTGCTTGTTCCGTTTTGTTAGTTAACATGAGCCTTTTCTGTTACTATGTTTGATAAGAATATATTACCATATTTGCCAGCACACAAGGCGACTGGCCGTATAAGACGCCCCCCCAACAGGAGGAGGAAGAAGAGGGGAAACAGGCAGGTGGCAGGCGAGCGTGCGCGCGGCTGGCTTAGTGGTGCGGGACAGCCCAGGGGTGGCTCAGGCATGGCAGCGAGAGGGTGAGGAAGAGCAAGAGGCTGAGGAGGAGTAAGAGGAAGAAGAAGAGGGGAAATGGGCGGGTGGTGGGCGAGCGCGCGCACGGCTGTCCTTCCTCCCCAGCCAGCGGCGGCCCCGCGTCATTCAGTGCACCCGGCATACAAGATGAACCCCCCACTTGGAGGCATGTTTTTTGGGTCCAAAAAGTCATCTTGTACACCGGCAAATAACTGTTACAAGCACTGTTAGCTTATTCTTCTATGTGTTTTATACAGCAAACATTCTTTAAATGTTTACCAAGACTAAATGAATATTATTTTCAACTGTTGGCACACACACAAGGGAGAAAAATATTTATGATCCGTGTGTTTTTTATACTATGCTTGAACCACTGTGTATACCAGCTCTCAAACACTTCAACAGAGCTTAGTGCTACTGTGCTTCCTATGAAGAGTTCATATCCATGTGAAGGGCTCCCAGTTTGCATTCCTTTAATTACCTCTTTTGTTAGATTTAAAATGTCACACTACCACCACCACCACCACCACCAAAACACTCCAGAGGCAAATCTTCAGCAAGGAAGGAATACATAAGGTCTTTTTCCCCCTGGGAAGCCTAAAGAAACCATTTCCCATAATCCAGCTTTGCAGTGCAGTACAGACATAGACATTAGTAACTCCCAGTCTCCTTAGGGATGAACTAACCAGCCTGTGCTCATTTGCTATGGTACTTTTGCCATCCCTTTTGAACAAAAAGTCTGTCGTTGTTGGGAGTCTGAACGCCTAACAAACATTAGAGTATGCATACACAATCAACAAGGAAGAGAGTGCTATGCCACTTCAAGGCTGTTGTGTACAGAGTACAGTGGGGTCTTGACTTGAGAACTTAATCCGTATTGGAAGGCAGTTCTCAAGTCAAAAAGTCTGTAAGTCAAGCCGTCTGTAAGTCAAGGGTCCACTGTACATATAGAGGTACATCAATGTACATCAGATGGGTAGCCTGAAAAAGCTGCTGTGGTCTACTGAGTGCTCTTTCACTGAAGCAAGATGTCTGTATAGAGCATTTGCTCTCCAGATTCTTCCAGGCAGATTCTTAGGCAAAGACTCATCTTTCATCTGCCATCCAATTTTTTTAAAGCTAGAAACACCAGAACAGATTACAGTGGTGCCTTGCAAGACAATTGCCTCGCGGGACGATTAATCCGCAAGATGATTGGTGTTTGCAATCGCTGTGGAGCTTTGCAAGATGATGTTTTCTATGGATGATTTTCGCAAGATGACGATTTTTCCCCATTGGAACTCATTAAATAGATTTCAATGCATTCCAATGGGGAACCGCATTTCGCAAGATAATGTTTTCACAAGATGACGTTTTTCGCTGAATGAATTAACATCGTCTTGCGAGGCACCACTGTACTGGAAAGCATTCTGACATGATTTAGAAACATGGGATTCTTAGAAGATGTTGCCAAAACCACTGTGCCTCTTTCCTGAAGAATACATATACCATTAATTTTCTTGAAAATGAGAAATGGCCATTGTATATGAGAAAACCCCCAAATCACATGTAATTGATGCAAAAGGCCCCCAAGGATGACTAAAGCCTCAATACTGTTGTAGTCATTAATCACCAGGATCAAATAATCTTCATCTTTTTCTTTTTACTTAAAGGTTAAATGGCATTTAACGCTTCATTTATTATTTTATTTATTTATTTAAAATATTTTTATCCCACCTTTCTCCTTTAAAAGGACACAAGGTGGCTTATATCATTAAAAAGACAACATTGAAAAGCTAAAAACAGTAAATACTGTACACAAATATTTAAAAAGAATTAAACAAGTATCGTATTAAAAATGGCAAATAAAATCAATACTAAAACACATTTAAAACAAGAGGCCACAACAATCCATTTAAAAACCCCTCTCAGACCACCCGTTATTAAGGAAAAGCCTGCCTGAAGAGAAAGGACTTTGCCTTCCTGTGGAAGGACAACAAAGACAGGGCTTTAATATGTTATTCTAGGCTTTAATATGTTATTTTAGGCTTAATGTTAAGCTCTTACAAAAAGCTGGTATGGTTGCCACAACTTGTCTAAACATAAACTTCTTCCATCAAAGACTAACTATAGCAATCTACCAGAGTACAAATGGGTGCAATAAATTTCTAGCAAGTTCCCTTAAGATTTCTACTACCTTTACCGATCTCTTGTACAACTCCTGTTTCTGTGACAAATTTCTGCCTCCTCCTTCCTGCAATATTTTTAGTCATGCTGGTGGGATTCTGACATGGTATCAACAACAAAAATACATTTGACCAAAAAAAAAAAGGCAGGGGGGGGATGCTTTCAAATCACCACCCACAACATTCAGTGCAGAAAGGTTATCATGAAGTGATAAAGGCTTCAGTATAAATTCCAGATGCAGGGGAGTGGTATCGGGAGATAAGTATTTCGTTGTCTCATGTGCTCCCAGAGGCATCTGCTGGGGCCACTGTGAGATACAGGAAGCTGGCCTAGATGGGCCCTTGGCCTGATCCAGCAGGGCTCTTCTTACGTCTGTCTGTAAAGGGTCTTATCCCTCAGCATTCTTCTTTCTTGTCATGCCAACAAGATTAATTAAAGCAGAGTCAGAATTCAACCAAGCTGGTGGCAGTACTGGAGAATGTTAGAATACTTCAGCACAGCTACCACATTAGTGGACCTTGTAAGTCAAAACAGTTATAACTTTTCTAACATCATCCTAATTAAATTATACCAGAATTATAATTTAATGGGATATCATGGCACTCTTTTCAGAACATATCTGTAACAGTTACAGTTACTTTTGAAGGGTGGGTGTGACCTCACTAACTGTTGGAGGAATAGATATATGTATACTCCTTGAGTTTATAAAGAAATCCATATTTTGGAGCAATGGATGATACAAGTTTTGGAGCAATGCACAATAGAGTAAAGCAACCACACACAAAGAAATTATAATTAAAACAAACACATTAACAACTCAGTGACTGGCAGTGATTAGACAGTAAATGACTATTTGAAAAGAAAGACCTTCGACAGAAGGGCATTCCATAGGATGATTGCTGGTACACCTAAGACCCTACTCCTGCAGCCTCTAAGTGTATCTCAGAAACACACAAAACCACATGAAGCACTTCCTCACTAGACCTTTGGGACAGAGCAGAATGACAGGGTGAAAGACATATCCTTAGGTATCCTGCTCCTAAGTTGTTTCAGCTTTGTACTATAGTATCACATGGTTTAAGTACCTGCTGATGCAACTTCCTTATTGTCTATTGTGGATACTCAGGTACCAACAAGAAGAACTAACAAGAGATTGTGTCTCTACCACATATCAGTGACTCACAGCTTTCAGAGAACTACCCTGTTTCCCCGAAAATAAGACCTAACCTGAAAATAAGCCCTAGTATGATTTTTCAGGATGCTCGTAATATCAGCCCTACCCCAAAAATAAGCCCTAGTGAAGTGAAACCACACCCTCCACCATTGTGCAGCATTGTGCAGCAACCAGGAGATGACATGACTATAAAATAAAACATCCCCTGAAAATAAGCCACAATGCTTTTTTGGAGCAAAAATTAATATAAGACCCTGTCTTATTTTTGGGGAAACATGGTAGGAAAGTACTGAGTTGCTTTAGAAAAACCTGTAACTCTTAATAGTAACTGACCACTTCAGTGGGGGTTGAAACTTGAACTCCAGCTAATTGCTTATTGAAAAATAACTTCCCAGGCTCTAAATTTTTTGCTTGCCATGAACACACAGTATGGGTACAACTAATTATTTAAATTACATAGGAAAAATGAATGGGAAGGCAACACAATTTTATATAGTTCTTATAAACATATTTTTAATCCCAGCCCTCCTAGTTTGTCAAGATAATTTTCAAGATAGTTAAGTGGATGGTGCAACAGCAAATACTAAGCAGTTTTCTTATCCTTATGTTTAAAATTTTTTTAACAAATCCCTCTAACTTACCAAATCAATCAGACTCTCCTGTATTCTGTTCAAGGTGGTGCGAAGCCTGCTGCTACTGAGCCCCAGTCCCGTTGATTCAAACTGGAAACAAGAGAGAATTCTAAGCAACACGATTTGGGTAGCGCACAAATAAACCAAATACAGTTTTCTGTTTATTCATGTCCCATTGCCCCACAGAGTAAAAGCATGTTGTGACACTGCAAATGCAAATCAAAAATGGGGGAGCGGGGGAACCTTTTCAGAAAATAATTGTTGCAATTCGTCCAAAACTGCACACATATAAAAACATGAACTAAATTGTATACACTAAATGGTCACACATAATTCATACTGACAAGCGAATTATCCACTGTAGCAGGGGATAATTTCCAACATTTCATATTGTTTCAGTGTGGTTACTTTGGGCCAGAGGAAAACCATATGTGTTGTATTGTTTGTAATGATAACATCAAATAGTGCCAGATATTTTACCAAATAAAAAACTAATACAAATCAGCATGAAGATTTGTATTTATTATTTAAAAATATTAAGGTTCATATACTCAAATAGCCAATTATACAAGGCAAATTTTAATCTGAAAAGATGAGCAATATTACATCTCCATAAACATTTTTGGTATGAGAATCTAACGAAAAGAAAGAATGCCATGGTTCGCATAAGACCCAAAGAAAAGCCTGGTTTCCAGTTGGTATTAACTAGCTTAATTCCATTATAAACATTATGTGTACTAGTCCAAGGGATTATTACTTAACTCCTTTTAAATCCAGTGCAAATATGAAGTCCACAATGGAATTGCTGAGTTAACAAACCTACATGTAGTGGTAGAACTAAGAAACATACATGCATTTCCACGGTCTACTTCATTCATATTACCAAGATGCTGGTATGTGTTTCGTCCAAAGAATGCCCACCCCCACCCCGTTCAAACAGTCATTCTTTGGGTTTGCATTGAATGAAACTGTCTCATGTTTGAAGGTGTCATTCAAAAATTGCTCAGTGATGAACTTGTAGAGAGACTAGGTTAGTTCTGTTAATGCCTTACTATAATACATCAGTTAAGTATTCTCACATAACTCCATGCTTTTAGAGTATACATTTTACATAGTGATTGGGAGTAGAGCCAGCCTGTGCAGACTTGGGTAAGCTGCACAGTCCTAGGGTGACCCCAGATGTACAGAACTGGAAATCACTTCTGAGTATTCTCTATCTGGAAAAACCTGAAAAGGTTTGCTATAAGTCAGAATTGATTTGATAGCTTTGTTGTTGGTGGTGGTGGTGGTGGTGTTTCAGGTTGTTTGGCCGTGTTCTGAAGGTTTTTCTTCCTAATGTTTCACCAGTCTCTGTGGCTGACATCCTCAGAGGACAGGAGTTAGAACTCTGCCTGTGGTCTGCAAGAGTTCTAACTCCTGTCCTTTGAAGATGGCAGCCACAGAGACTGGCAAAACATCAAGAAGAAGAAAAACCTTCAGAACAGCCCAAAAAACCTACAGCCATCAGATAATGGCTGTGAAGCCTTCGGGAATACATGATGATGATAATGATTGGTTGTTGTGGGTTTTTCGGGCTCTTTGGCCATGTTCTGAAGGTTGTTCTTCCTGACGTTTCGCCAGTCTCTGTAGCCGGCACCTTCAGAGGACAGCACTCTGATGATGATTGTTTTATGGCTATTTTCTTCTGAAGTGTTTCTGGTTGACAATTTTACACATTATGCATCAGATAGCAAATTTAATTCTCAAAATGTATGACGCATTAGAGTACCTTCAGAATACTGTACAGCTCATGAAAAGGAACAAGATCAGGAAGGAAGTTCATGTTTTGAAATTATGCCTCTCTTAATTTGGACAACAAAAACAACAAAGAGGAAGTTGTACGGCACCTTAAAGACTAACAGATTGATTTTATTGTGAGCTTTTGTGAATCACAACCCACTTCCACAGACATGTGGAGTGGACTGCAATACGTGAATATTTATGATAAATTAAACTGTAACTCTTTAAGGCACCTCTTTTTGTTGTTTTAGTTGTACTTTTGGTTTGGTTTGGTTTGGTTTTCCACATGTTGAAACAGACTAACATGGCTACCCCTTTGAAAACTCTCAGTTTGCTATTGCTAAATTTTCAATTAAAGAGAAAATAAAAGTGAATTCATTCAACATAGATGGCATAAAATATCCAACAATGTGGCTGAATTGACATATTTTATCTTTACTGCTGTCACGTGGCTTTAAATGGATAGATCCCACTGCTTTGTGCATTAAAGCCATGTGCTAAGTTTAGCTACATAACTGTGAATTTATTTATAATGTTCTACAGCTGTGTGGATGAAAACTTGAACTGAAAGAACACCATTTAGATATTTGACAAGCCTCAATCTATGTCAACAGCTCACTTTAAAAATCTATACTTATATCATTTATGTCCACTGCTAAAGCTGAAGTGTATATGACTCCAAATCTGAAGAGCTGATGTTTTCTATTAATGTGAATGCAGGAGCATATTCTGTATCAAGTTTAGAATTACTTGTTAGGCTGCTGTAATGCTTCACGAGGCTCAAGGATTTCATTTGCTCTCGAAACTTAATAATGACAAAAGGGCGTACAAGTCTTCAGTGGCAACAAAATGTTGCAGTGGTGAGATGTTTATAAATAGATTGAGCTTTTAAATATAGAATTATGAGGAAGACTATTGTGGAGCATTCTTAACAGACCTCAAAAATCTCAGTGGCCTGTACCAAAAGTCCGCAGAACTTAAGCAGGTGCAGCTGTAATGCTAAAAAGTCATTCTGGGATTGAGTTATACAAAAACAGAAACATATTTGCTTCCTCCTTGTTACAGAGAAAATCTGCAATTTTTCTACTGAACAGTTGTTTAATATCAAACACCTGTTTCTAAACATAATTTATGTTCTTGCCCTTCCCCAACTCTCCTTTCTTACCCACAGGATAATATTTCTGTGTGACTCTTGTTGCTTAATTAATATTTAGTATCTTTCAGCATTCCCATTTATTTCAGAAGATTCCATTTCCCACCAAATAAATTTTTCTGTATTATATATAATGTCTGCTATAACTCTTAATTCATTTGCTATATAGTAGCTTTTTACATTAGGGATACCCAAACCTCCTTTTTTTGAGCTTTATATCAATATCTTTTATTTATTATAGATTTTTTACCTTGAGTACAATATCCATTAATTAATCCCTGCCAAAACTTCTTCTAATTGTATTGGGAGCATCCTAAATAAGAAGGTAATCTTTGGTAATATTTTCATTTTAATTGTAGCAATTCTCCCAAACTGTGATAATTTCAATTTAGAATATTCTTGAAGAGGCACTTGACATATATTACTTATGTGGAGAATACAAGTCTTCTGATAAAATTAATTATTCTTGAACTCCCCCTTTAAAAAGTGGTGTTAGTGGGATTTCAAAACATGCCAGGTTTAATACTGTGAAAAGGCAGCCTTGCAACCGGCTAACATGAAGGAAACCTCGTCATGGACAGATGTTCAAGCTATGGAAGTGTCTGAGAAGTGACATGTTATTTGCTTTTCTGAACACAACTGAGCTAGTCCAGAAGCAAATGTGAGTTTGCAGAATCCAAACAAGCATCCTGATCAAATTACGGTATCTTAAAAGGGTTGAAGACTTCCTGAAAGTTGTCCCCTCCAGTTATATTTCACTGAATCCACAATTATCCCTGTGCAGTTGAGGGCCGATGAGAGTTGCTAGTCAACATTTCTGCTTTGCTATTTGATTCAGCCTATTATTCAGCTTGCAATCTACCGAGTGTAACACAGCGTTCCAATCACGTATTGCAACTTGCCATGCCTGCAATATTCCATGTATTTATGTATTTATGTAGCTGGCTGCATAGCTCAGGTTTAGGTATCTGGCTGTGGAGTCAGAGGTTAGGAGTCAACTCCCTGCTCTGTCTCCTGTGAGTACAAGCCAGCCCATGTGGCTTTGGGCAAATTGCACAGTCCCAGAAGCACACCCAGAAGAAGAGAACAGTAAACTCCTGAGTACTCACTACCTAGAAAACCCTGGAAAAGATCACCATAAGTCAGAATTGACTTGATGTCACACGATTATTATAATTATGTATATATGTACATATTTCATGAAAGATAGGAGAAAGGGGTAGTTTATCAAACTTACAACAATTTGTGGCTTTGTTTTGTGAGGTAGGTCGCAAGTTGTGCAAGTGGTGATCATTGGTTTAAAGCAAATACTAAATACATATTAATAAATCAGAGGATGTTGTTTTACTCTTTAGAGATGTAAAACTATCACATCAACTTTACCCAGGAGGGAGAAATTAAAATTATAGACCCTTTTGTAACTCGTATGTTTCCTTTTATAACTGTCCTACAAGAACCAACAACAAACCACACTACAGTCATTTCACTATGCATTTACCTGCCTAGCACTGTGTTGCTCTCTGCCAGATGTAGAAAGTACAGAACAGGGCAAGAGCTTTAAAAATATAAACAGAAGATGGGGGAGAGGGGAATGAAACAAAGAATAGTAGAGATAACCAATGAAAATCAACATATTTTAGAATAAGTATTTTTTTCCTTTCCACCTCTGTAAGCAACAAATGCTCAAAGCTTTGTTTATGCCAAAAAGAACAACTCAGGATTACTTGGAATGCGGGGAGCTGTCAAGCAAATAAAAGATTAATTTAGACCCCTCTTCCATAAAAGCTCATGGGACAGCTGATCCCAACATTTCATTGGTTTCACAGTTGCTGCAACAGGAAAAAAAACATGCTTTGATTTACAAGAACAAAATAAATGATTAATGGCATGTGTGAAATGATTCATGTTAAAGTCAAACTTCCCAACTCCCGTGCTAGTTGCTAAGGAAGTCATAAACACCTCCTTTGTATATTGTCCTGATATATTTTGAAACCACCCCCAAGAAACATAGCAATGATGACTGAAGATGGGGATATTCATTTTCTTTTACAAATACTCACGCACAGCCATGCTCCCCGCGTATTGCTCTTCCCGCCAATCACAGAAGTAGATCCTCCATCTCTTTGCTCAGCTGGCCACTCAGCAGCTATGAAGGGAAACTCGTCATCCCACCCCCTGCCTGGAGTGACCAGCCAAGCAGGGAGATGATCTACTTCCATGATTGGGAGGAAGAGCCAAACGCTGGCAGTGCGGTGGCGCGTGAGTGGATGGGCTAGTTCTGGGGGACAGACCCACGTTAGTTGCAGCTGGGACCGGGATATTTGTATTCATTAATGAATATGAAAATTCCCATCTCTAATGATGACCTAATATGTCTGTACTCTTTCCAATGTAACAGAAATGCCATACCTTCAACAATTTAAATTAACTTGCTGCCAGATCACCACTGGTGGTCCCAATCCCAGTGGTGCCAAGCCAGTGACACATTTTTACTATTAAAGGGTCCCCAGCCCCTGCATCCTGAAGCCTCCGAAGTCGTCCTTATGGCACAAGGGAACCCTGGAGGCCTCAGAACCTGAAAAGGGTGGGGTAGGGATACAAAATTTTCCACGAGTTTAAATTAAATGTTTCCAACACCTGATCCAGGATACACAGGCAGAGAGGTACACAACAGGATTTTGTCCATTCTGTTTAAGCCACGGCTAACGTGACCTATTGTCATCCTAGCTTATTCCTTCGGTTTGTGAAGTAAATACAAGTGTAACTGAGAACTCTGGCTTAATACATATCAGGATCTTTATGCTGAATTCAATGCTCAACAGGATGACAGAAGGAAACATGGGAAGGACGAGGAATTAGCCCCCAACATCTGTGTTTCTGGTTTCAAAAACCATGGCATTAGCTGACTGGAACGGTTGCTTGAACTGGGCCATCCCACTTGCCTGAAACTCTTGAGGATAACTTTTTTTTTCCAGTCCATAACAGCACAACCAGCAGCCTACCTGACCCATATAAAGTCTTTTCATCTATTTGCCTGTGGGCATTTTCTTCCCAGGAGCTAAAGCTTCAGATGCGTTGTTTTTGTTCTCTTGGTTTAGCAAGATTCATTTTGACATAGTGTGAGACCATCGAGTTAAACGTATATGTGAGTGAAAAAACAACTGGATCAACAACATGAAATATTCTAGCAGACCTTCCTCAATGCTATGAAACAAGTTTTTAAAAAATCTTTAGATTGCTTCCTTACATTTCTTCTTCCATACTATCTTCAGACCTGAAACTAGCACAAACTTTTGTAATTAGATATCAAGTGCAATTTACAATCCAGGCTGCTACCATTCCTCCTTTTACACTCATCACATTTACTTACCGTGTCATTTCGCCCAAAAAATGTATATATTGCGTACATATAATAATCAAAAAGCTGGGACATGAAATGGATCACATCAAAGGCAATAGGCTTCAAGATGTTCATCATCTGCATGTATTTTCCTAGGAGAGAAAAAGTAACAAATGCAATTTCAAGTTTACAAGCCAAATTCACTTATATGTTATATACACTTCATTTATGATATAGTGGTGGTGTTACAGGAAATGCAGGACAATTCTCATCTGCTCCAGCCAGCATAGCTAATGGTGAGGGACAACTGACAGGGATGTACAGAGCTGTGAGATCTGGAGTGCCACAAGTTGCTGATGTGTTTTATGTGTTTTATGAAAGTGCTGAATCAGCAACTCTTTTCATAACTGCATAGTAATGCACTCCTGCATCCTTCCAGCCATCTCCCTGATTACCCAATTTCTCGGAAGTATGAAGTGTCCATTTATGATCATAGAGATGTAAGATACAAAAGTTCTATAAACTTCCTCCTCTGAGGTTAATACATCAGATCTGTACTTAATCTGTACTGAGGTTAATACATCAGATCTGACTCTGATGCTTCTTCTGTATTATCACACAGTAATTCATATTTTTAAATGCTGCATGAAATGTGAAAATAAACTATTCTATAGGCTTTCAGGCATGGATTTCCCAAATAACTCTTGGAAGGCACACCGACAAAATGGAAAGGCTATAGGACAACATTTCAGGGACAAAACAAGGCACTCTACACCTAAATCTTGTCCCTGTAAAATCTTTTTTCCACTAGGTGCCAAGAACATTTACTTATCACAACATCATTCTGCATCTCAACACCATTTATGTTCCAAGAACATTTCTTCTTCATTCCTTCCATAAAATGATGCCAATTTTTTCAACTCTTCTTCCGCAAAGCTAGCAATCAACCATTTTTCACTGAACAGGCATTTTTTAAAAAGTATAATTAGGAAGTTCACCAATAGAATAAAGAGTGGAGGTTGCCCTAGCTATAACGGAAGTGAAGGACATTATAAGCAACTCCTTCAGGGAAAGCAGACATGTCCAAGGACTGCCTTCCATCACAATATGTTCTTGACAAATGTCACAGCTACTAACACACATTTCTTGGGAATATAAATTATGGTACTAAAACTTCTAAATAAAATGTATTCTCAAAGGCTTTCACGGCTGCGATCCAATGGTTGTTGTAGGTTTTTCGGGCTGTTTGGCCATGTTCCAAAGGTTTTTCTGGAGGTTTAGGAAGAAAAACCTGCGGAACGCAGCCAAACAGCCCAAAAAACCTTCCAGATAAAACGGTGTGACTTGCTATATTTTAATTTAAAGCAGGGGCAATAAATCTTTCTGCTGCATTGTGTCATATCCTAATTCTCTAAGAGTCCCCAATCTTCCAGAAAAGCTATGGGGGCATTTAAGCGAGCAGAGAGATCAGAAAAAACAGGTATCCCAATCTGAGGGAGTAGAACTGTTGTCTACAGTCTGCATTGCACTTAACCCTAGTTTATGCACAGTAATCATATCACATACAGAAATAAAACATTAAAGTGTAGGATGCTATTATTTTTTATAACTCAATAATTATTACTCTTTTCTTTCAGAGGGGAAATGTAGCGCAAACCTTTCTTCCCACTAAAATGTGGCATGGGTTCTGAAAGCACAAAAAATTACCTCATTGCTCAGATATGGCCAGGAGCCAAAAGTTAGTCATCTGTGTTTTAAAGTCATATATTCTCTCCAGATTTCCTAAACAAAGACCAGAACTTTGGAATGAAAGCAGCATCTCTGACACCATGGTGCCACCCACATGGCAATCTACCTCAGGATAGTCTTTACAGAAGTTATTAAAGAAAAAGCATTTTTTATTATATTTTTGGCTAGAAACAATATACGTACCAAGTTCATCTATATTTTGTGCAGAGCTATAAAAGACCAATTTTTAAAGCAGATTTATAGATGGCAATTTTGAACACTCTTCAAACAAACAAGATATGTCAGCAGACTATTAGTTCTCAGAACTGATATCATGCCTTTGGCCAAGAACCATTGGGCAATATTTATTAATTTATTACAGCAGCATCCCAGAGGCTCAGCAGCTCATGCTATTAGCCTGATCTAGCAAATACAAATGTTTGCCAAGTGTAATAAAGTTTCAGGTGAACACTCAGGGAGAACAGAATTATTGGCAAGGACACATGAAAATGGGGTTCCACACAAAAAAACAATTATGTTGTGTTCCCTCTTGCCCATGTCCATCAGATGAAAATCAATTTGCTCAGGCCATAATTGGAATCAATGACTTTGATAACTTTTTCAAGTTTGTTTAAAGAGGACATCATGAACGTATAAAAATTCCCCAATATGTACACCTAGGAAGGCACATTCATGGACACATAAAGTGGTTCAGTTCACATTGTACAAGAACTCTCTTATATCTTAATTAAGATGATGTAGTGAGCACTGGAACTCAATCACTTCATGTTTAATGTACCACTGCTTTTGTTATAAAACTAAGGGAAAAATCATATGTTCCCAGAGGCTTGCATGCAAGGGAAGAATTCCCCTGCATCCTCTCCCCAAGGAGCAGTTCTCCAGATACCTGTGAGTATCTAACAGATAAGATATTGGCTTTCAGGCAGAATAGACCTACTTTGTGTGGACAGAACAAGGTGAAATCATTTGGATTACAGCCTGTGCATGTTTCATAAACTATTGTCAATGTTCTTTCCCAACCAATGGTCATAAAAGGATGACCATTTGTCATATACCTGTCAACGGCTAAGTCTTTTTCTTTCAACTGGGAACCAAGGAAAAGGCTAGCACAAGCCTTCTTGCATGTTAATACAACATGCTTTTAAATAACTCAGTAGAAGCACATATATGATACTGCATGTTGTATCAGAAATTTAGCAAAAAAAACCTCACTTACCAACAAGTCTGATTACATTAAGCGTAGTGTTGGTTAAAATGGGAGCGTTCACTTTGTTGAGACAATAATCTGATCGCTTTCTGCTCTTCAGGGTTTCTCGAGAAATACTAGATTGAAAATATATTAGCTGTCAGAGCACAGATAAATGTGGTACTACACAAACAGGAGTCAAAGTTCCTCTTATTTTAAAAGTTTGTTTATGCCAGTACATAGTGTTTTTAGATACATACTCCTTCCCTAGTCTAATTCCTAACATCAAGGAGTATAGAAACAAACCGAGTTCTACGTCTAGCTTATTCAAGTACTCTGTGACCTTGAAATAAGGAAGAAAACGAGTGGAGAATCCTTCATACCAACTATAGTCTCTTGAAGACTGCATCCCCTATTCTTAAGTTAGAAGGAATCTTTAAAGTCTCTTCCGACCTCCTCACCCACTCCTGGTGTGTATGTAAGAGAGAATGTAGAAATGTGTGAGGGAAAATAAGAGTCTGTGCTTGAATGAGAAAGGACTAATACCTGAAAGTATGCATCTGTGCCTATGTGAGAATAGAGAGAAGGAACAAGGGGCAGAAGGGACTCCACATGCACACACTCAACACATGTTCCTTGAGAGATTAAGCCCTTGTGAAATGTGGGGATGAAAACCCCATAGATTCTTGCTTCGTCCATTCTTGCTTTGGTGTGCTTTGCCCTGAATGTGAACTATTTGGTATACCATGCCCTGAATGAACGCAAACAAAATGGAATTTCAGCAATGGACTAAGGAAAGGGCCTGGCAGTAACTAGGTATTTGGGGGGAAAAGATTATTCACTGTTTATAATGCGTTTGAGAGCCTTTATAGTTCATAGTAGAGACCTAGGAAGTCCCTTCATCTAGCCCAAAGCTTGGGAAATGCATAATCCATCAGAGATTGCTGGACTACAATATCCATCTGTCCTCTCTAACACAGCCAGTATCAAAGGCTGATGGGAAACACAGTCAAACAACATGCAGAGAGCTTCACCCCTATTGTAGATGCTAAGTTTTGTCAAGATATGAGTGTCCCATAATGCGGTATGGCTTTAATAGTCTTCCAAACCATTATATGTTGGTTGGAGCTAGCACGTTATTTTCTTTTCAGAGTGTGTGAGAGAGAAAATAATGACCCTTTTGGTTGGAGCAGAGCTGCACAGTTTAGTAGCCTTGTACTCCTACTGCTATTCATTGGTCCCACACAATAGAGATGAATTCCTCAGCTGCTCATCCTAATTAAGACTCTGTTGATTTTAAAGAATATTAACAGAAGGGTAAAAAAGCTCTTAGCTGAGGTGCTAGAAATGATTAATGACTTAATTTTAGAAGTAATCTGCAGCATTTAATTTTAGAAGTAATCTGCAACATCTCTGTGTAAGAGTTGGAAGGACCAAAACAGAATCTCAGTGGTTTATACCAGGGAGACAATCTTGAGATTGCAAAAAGATGAAAAAGCTTTCACTGTTTTCAATATTTCAACCTACACATCATCTGGCACTGTGTGGCAATATTTACAACAATTTTGGCATCCCTATATGGGTCAGCAGTTCTGAGTGTCTCAGCCATTTAATGTGGTGTTGAAAATGACAGCTGCACCTTCAGAAAAATTGAAACAGACAACTGATGCCTATACACATCTAAAGCACCTGATTTAATGTTGATGAAGTAAGAATTGAGTAGAATACAGTGTCAAACTGTCCAGTTCAAGTCAGTCAAGGGTAAATTGACATCTCCTGTGTCTTGAAAGTAAACTGAGGGTCAGTGCTTCTGGAACCTATGTGTTTTTACCGTGGTTGAAAAAACACATGCTCTAAGGTTGGAAACACAAATATTCACCATTCATTGTCCAATAGTCAGAAGATCTTCCTGCATCAGCTGTGTACAAATGTATATTCAACAGACACCAGTTCAAAGCAGACACATGTTTTTGAACATATGGACAGCTTATGTTAACCTAAATGCCTTAGCCCACACTCAAATCATCCTATGATCTGCTCCATTCCCCTCTCCTTTTTAAATGTTTCTCATTTTCTCCTCTTTTTTGAATATCTTTTTTAAAAAGTAAGCAATCAGATTAAAAGTAGTGATAAAAGCCACAACAGCAAATCCTTCATTTAGAAAGATTTCCTTTCTCATGGGTCTCATCATGATCTTTCCTAAATTGGTCGCTATCTGTGCTCACATTACCTCTGATTACCTGTTCCCACTTGAACCCAGCTTCACACAGAGATGCCCTCAGGATCTTCTCCAGGTGTTCTCTGATTCCACAGAGGAAGCATGTCACAACCAGAAAAGAGACCCTTTCCATTGCAACATTCCAGTTGTGAACTATTCTTTCTACACACATGGCTCAGTATACATTCTACTGATTTTCAGGCCCCAATTTAAAACACTTTTATCTTCTTGCACTTTTTACACAACTGATTTATCATTTTCTGCTATTACAGTTGCTACTGCAATAGAGATTTTTATTAGAAATTTATTTTTCTGTTTCATCGTCTGGTTTTGATAGAGCAATTTTCTTTTTTCTGTTAGGGATCTTGGATGTTTTCAAATGGAGAAATGTAATGTAAAATAGCCATTTTCAAAATGATATTCTAGGGATACTTGGGACTCTCTTTGTACCACACCCCTAAGCAGCTGCTTGAGTTGGTCACTTCAATATGTGCAAAGGTATAGTTGGCCAGGTGACAAACCTTGACAAAAAGGGTTCTTGAAAGGTCAGAACATTTGAAAAACATTGCTCTGTGCCTTTTGAAGTTTCAGTAAGGAGAAGCTGAAGTGTTTATTCCAAAGCATGTCATCAAAAATAAGATACTCATGAAATGCAAAACATGTATTCAAGGTACCTTTTTACTGGAGCATCCCCAGTCTGTTCATCGACATAGTCTCTTTTCAGTTCTTCCGGAACATCACTGTCACTGTCATATTCTTGATAAGCACTCTTTTCCTGTTCATCTGATTCATACTTCCAAAATAAATCATAGGCGCTTTCAGTTTCTCCACATCAATTCAGAACGTACATAACATGTGCCACAGTTTTAATTTACTCTAACAGAATATTGTTTTATCAGGTAAAATTACATGACTACTATTCTTCTTCTAATGAATGACAGACATAATGTTCAAAGGAAAAGGACTTCTTAACGTATAAAAATACAAACTACGCTGTTATCAAGAGCAACAATACTGGCAAGTCATGAGAAACAAGGGTTAACTATCCTTGGAGGATGTTTAAATGCTGCTATTGCTCACCCTCAGCCACTAGACAAATCAGAAATACAACCAATATAAGCAACTTACACTCAGCACTTTTCTTTGTGTGTGTGTTATGTGCTATCAGGTTGGAACTAATGTATAGCAACCCTAATAGGGCTATCAAGGAAATTGAGATAATTAAGGAGTGGCTTTACCAGTATTACACACACAGCCAAACCAATTTCCACAACCAAGTGGGGACTCAAACTCATGTCTCCTGAGTCCTAGGCTGTTATTCTGTCCACTACACCTCAGTAGGTACTTTTCTTTTGAATGCTTTTAAAACGCTGAGCCACTTTGAGATGGGTAAGTGAGAAAGTGTAACTGAAATGGTGATCTAAATATAAGACACTTGTAAACATTAAAAGACTGTAAATCACTGTGATTTAAAATACTAGCAAAGTATCTCCAAATAAATTACTACCACGTGCAAGACTGATGAAACTCATTTATATTGTCTGCTAATCTAACTACCGTTCAGTCAAGTTTAAGAAAAATATGCATATAAATCATTGCTTTTAGTGTTCTTAATCCCTCCACACAGAATGTTCTGTATTGCAAACGCTAAAGAGATGCCAAACGATCGTCCAGCATAAAATCATTTTCATGCCACATGAGTGATGGATTCATTAATGCAAAATGATGTAAACTGGGATGTTCCCTTGCAAGCAATGATCGAAACAGGTCAGAACTGTGAATCTTGCAATACCAAGCCTTTCAGGCTTCATAATAAATAGAACACAACTCAACATCCCCCATGCAAGATTAAGGAAAAAGGGGACCACCACTTAAGGATAGCTATAGCCAATCACCTGTAGATAAGATCATTCTGCCCTCTAATGGTTGTCTGTGATAACAGTCTTGTATTATCTAGAACTGAAACAACTTTTTGTTTGTACAAACACATAATATAATACTAATAATCTTAGAACTCCAGAGCTGGAAGGGACCCTCTGGATCATCAAGGACGCACAGTGGAAAATTGAACCCTCGGCTTCTGGATCCACAGCCAGATAATCAAAACCATTGAGCTATCCAGCAGTTTTTGAATTTACATTTTAGCAAACACAAAGCCCAAAAGTGTACAAGTGACAAACAAAAACCACTGAGCTATCCAGCAGTTCTTGAATTCACGTTTTAGCAAACAGAAAGTCCAAAAGTGTACAAGTGACAAACTCCAACCAACATTATAGCCTTTGCTCAGCAGAGGCTCATCTGTCCTTCAGCTATTAGCAGCTTTAACTGCGCTACATTTATAACATAGGCATTATCCCATAACTTTATGAGTCCAATGCAGAAAAACCTAGAGAGAGACTTACTGTATACTGCCTACAAGACTTAACTCTTTTACTGTAGCATAGGCTTCTGTGAACCAAAGTTAACAATGATTTGGAAGAAACTACATATACCCTAACAATGAAGTAGAACATGTTTTTAATGTTTCTTTTGGAAATTAAGCCCAGATACAGAACAAAAGAGATGAGAGCAGGTCTGCAAAAAAAAAAAAATGTAAATTCGAATTAGTGTGGAAGCAATTTTTTCCAAGTTAATGGCCGCTACTAATGCAAAGGCTTTGCAAAACTTCAGCAGTATTAAACACAGCCCAAATGCAAGAATAATAATCTTCTAAACTAACTGTTTCTAGTACCTTTTTCTCTCTCTTTTTTTTTTGAAAGCAATACCATTACTGTCAAGTTTTCCTGTTGGGATGACAGTCCTCTTTATGGAACTCTCTCCAAAGGACGGCTCCCTTGGTATTCTCAGGACAGGATTTTAGGTAGCAAGTTAAGACCTGTCTTTTTGGTGCTAGGGGACTATTTTTCTTTACATCTCCACTGACATTTTACTGCTGCTCTGCTTGTCTATAAACTTGCTTCTACACCAATATTGTATTAAGTGATCTGTGAACTGTGACAAAGGGATTGTTGAGGCATAAATATTTTAAAATAAACAAAATTTCCAAAATGTGTGGAAGTATAGACACAACACGGTGTAATATTCCCTTCATACCAAATCATGGAAAGTTAAGTTGGCTCAACGCAATCTAGGCAAGAGCAAATTCATCAATACAAAAAGAAGAATTTGGGCTTAATAGCCTTATAAAAACTTTGTACTTTACTACTTCGTTTCTAAGCTTTCAAAGCTTTCAGGAAGACTGACTTCAGGAAAAGAAAAAATATTGATTGAACTCTCTGAGAAGTGGCACAGGATTATGCAGGAAGTCTTACTATTTTGTTCCCATTTCAACATATGATATGGCATATGCACGAAGAACTGACACAAATGTTTCCTTACCCCATTAGAAGCCAGTACATCTTCAGTCTCATCATCCTTGTTGTTGGCTTGGATTTCAAAGGGGTTTCCTCCATTACAGTATTGTTCAAACAGAGTTTCAGCTTTTTCTATTTCTGAAGCAGGCTGTTTGCTAGGTGACACAGAAGGGGAACGAGACTGGGCCATGAACTTAAACTCCTATTAATATAAACAGAAGTCATTAATAGATTCAGCCATGAACTCCAAATACTGATCCATGTAATTAAGGAGCAACTTCTGGACAACTGCCATGGTATATGTATTTCATTGGTGTACCATCATTCATCCTTATTTTTTAAAAAGTCTCTAAACGTAGTGATAAATTGTATAATTTTACCTGAGTTGCCCAGTTATCTCAGACAACATTCTGACATTTGCAAATGTCACAACACAGATTAAGTTAATTAGTGTATGGTGAAATATTATGTGATCGGGGAGTTCCAACTGAACAACAATGGGAATTACAATTCCTTTGGCTTTTACAGCTACTTACAACAGCACTTATATATACACACACATATATATACATGTATACGTGTGTCTGTCTGTGTGTGTGTGTGTGTGTGTGTGTGTATACATACAATGGTGCCTCGCTTAACGGGTGCCCCGTTTAACGAGGAATCCGCATAGCGATGAAGATTTTGCCATTGCTTTTACCATCACATTGCGATGTTCCCTATAGGGAAAAATCGCTTTGCGATGATGGCTTCCCCCCATCACAAATGCCCCATTTTGCACAGCTTGCGATGGGGGGGAGCGATCGTCCCAGAAAAGAGCTGCGTGAGGGGGACGGGGGGCGGGCCTGCCCCTACCACACCCCCACCCACACCCACCCCGGCAAAGCGCCGCTTTCGGTGCGCGCGCGCGCACGCGCACACACACATGTATCAGCTTCACATAAATTTAGCTTTGATTTCAACAATTTATTTATCATAACTAGAAATGGGCACGAGCCACTAGTTCGGCAGGGTACGTTTACCAGCAGTGGTGAGTTTTTCCCCAATAGGAACGCACCACTGTATATATATATATATAGCAAAGCTGATTCGAGGTTTGACACCCCACCCCCTCTGGCAGGCGCTCACTCGGAGGCAGCGCCCAGAGGAGGTGGGACAGTGAAGCTAGGCCACAGCCTCCAACTGGGGACTGCAAGAGGGGGTGGAAGGCCAAACCATGGATCAGCTGTGCAATTGATAAATGCACCAAGTCAAACCAGTGCTTCATCCCCATCTCTAATTGTAACATATGATATTTGTGAACGCTGGGAATGAAATGAAGTTTTTTAAAAAAGCAAAGATGAACTTCTAGCTTGGATATCATGCTAAAGGTTTTGAACAAAAGGCAAATAGAGTATACAGCCATTTTCGAACTTTCATTATGAAAGCTTTTAAGCAGTAGCGCACTACAGATTGTTATGAAATTTTGTTTCATTTGTTTCATGAATTATAGTACAAAGTGTAAAGAAGCCTTTTTGTAAGAAAGACACCTTCTGTATCAGATTCAATAAAAAACTTTACTGGTATTTCCTTCTAAATACTTTAGTATCATTGAAAGGTTAATGACTTTCATGCCAAATCAGATTAAAGAGGGGAAAAAATATTTCTGACATAGGCAGCTTTTGGGCAGGGAGTATGTTGCTTAGCTGCTTCAATTAGTATCTGTTTAATTGTAACTCAAAATTGCACAGGAGCTAAGCTAACCAAATAGTAATTTGTTCACCTTCATTCAAAGGGCCACTTTTTACATCATCACAGCAACGTGGGAACTGTTTTAAGCATGACTCAATCTAATGCTGTTTTGATTATTATTATTTTTTAACTCAGCATGTCACACAGCCTCTGTGTGATGACTGCTAACAATAAATAAGAATGTGACTCATACATCAGCCCAAAACTATATGAAAGAGCTGAGAGCAAGATGAGTTTGAGAATTCTGTGAAATCCCAAACCGAACTTTAAGCAAATACCTGGGCGTTTTCAGATGTCATATTCTCACCTCCTTAAAATATGGTTTCAGAGGTTGAAATTTCACCCATCTTTCTTGGCTCCCCAATTTCACACTGTGACAATAGCCCCTGTATGTATCAGTTCCCTGTTGCATCGAAAACTGGAACTGTGATTTAATAATAATCATAGGCCATCAAGTCAATTCCGATTGTGGAAGATCCTTTTCAGGGTTTTCTGGGTAGAGAGTGCTCAAAAGCGGTTTATCATTCCCTTCTTTTCAGGGTTTTCTAGGTAGAGAGTGCTCAAAAGTGGTTTATTATTCCCTTCTTTGGGGGGCATCCTAGGACTGTGCAGCTTGCCCAAGGCCACACAGGTTGGCTCTTCTCCCAGTTGGCACAGTGGGGAATTGAACTCCCAAACTCTGGCTCCATAGCCAGATACCTAACTTACTGAACCATCCAGCCAGGTTTATTAACCAGCTCATGAAGTAGAATTAGGACTTCATTTAAGATCTTGTTTGCAAATATATACCATGCAATGTTAAGTAGATTTATTCAGACACAGGTGTCACTGTACTTTATCCTTTTTGGTTCAAGTGCACCAAAATGTAGCACCCACAGCAATGTAAAGAGCATCCTACAGATTTTGTTAAATTCCATTCCAGTTTTCATTTCAAGTTTACATAGTTTATCATTATACAGCCAACAATAAATACTTGATGCACCAAAATGTAGCACCCACAGCAATGTCAAGAGCATCCTACAGATTTTGTTAAATTGCATTCCAGTTTACATAGCTTATCGTTATACAGCCAACAATCAATACTTGATCTTTAAATATTTAAAAGCCAACTGTTTGTTTTGATATTTTGATAATGGTAGATTATGTAAATATATTACATAATCAGTAACTGGTGGATATATCTAAGTGCTCAGGAGTCTTCATTGTACAGTTACCATTTCCTTCCTTCTGCTTTGTTCTGGATTGAGAACAACTGCTTGGATCCAGCAGAAGACTGCGTTAGTTCAGACATCATTTTCCCACCTTCCTAATTACGACTATGAAGCTGGCAAGAATCAGTTAAGCCTGCTTCCATGCTCCCTGCTTATATTCTTGCTCCACTGTTACAACTCTAGTATTTTTAAATTATAGTTTCCCACTGGGTCCCAAATGGGAAGCTTGGATTATGCTGCAATCCACACTTCTTCTTAAGTATTGTAACTGTCAAGTTGCCTCTGATTTATAGCAATGAGAGATCTTCAGTATGCCCTGTCCTCAACAGCCCTGCACCGCTCTTATAAAAGTCTGTGGTTTCCTTTAGAGTGTCAATCCATTTTGTATTGGTCATCCTCTTCAACCTTTCCTAGCATTACTGTCTTTTCCAAAGAATCTTGCCTTCTCATGATGTACCTAAAGTAGGACAACCTCAGTAGGACAGTTTCTTCATTTTTGCCTCCAGAGAGAAAGTTCAGGCTTATGGTTCACAATCAATTGGGTTTAGCAATGCAACCCTGATTCTTATGTGGAACTTAGTACAATCCACACTTAACTCAGTGGAATAATGTATACAGCGCATCTTAAGGTGATAGTCAATTTTTATCTAATCTTTGGCCAAGAATTTTATCCCATTCCTAAATTTGATATGGTTGGGACTTACATGAAGTTGTAATATGCTGAAGCTTGATTTAACAGGACAAAGCTCCCATGTCTCATTCTCTAAGAACATTCTCAGTTCTTCAAGCCGGGTTCTAAAATAAACAATTTAACATCAGCACAGTAGAACAAGCTAACTATATGGAGGAAATGATGAGCCACCACAATATGGAAAATGCATGAATATCTCTTTCAATTTAAAAATGTTCTCCCCTTAATTACCCAGAGTGAACAATTTGTGGCCACAGATTCCTTACTCTTCTATTAACTGCTCAGAGCTCACCTCTACTACAGAGATATCCAAGTGAGATTTCTTGCAACCATACAAACACATAGGACTAGAAAGGAAAGGGCAAGAATTTAGGGATGGCAGATGTTAAATTATACTCCGTCTATATTACCATGAAGCTCGATGACATCATTTGACTACAAATAAAAATCAGTAAGAGATCTGAAGAAATCTTCAGTGGGTGGTCCTAATCCAGTTTTCTAAGCACAGCATTTCACTGGCTTTTTTCTGGGTATCATTTATCCCCTGTTTCCATGAAGTAGATATTAATTTTGTCAATGCAAAGGCAGATCTATCAGTTACTTCTGAAAAGCTGAGTTGCACCTACCCAGCTAGGCCCTTTTGTGAGTCAGTCTGCCAGTTCCTGCTCTCTCGCCGTTCCTTGGCTATTCAGTAAGCTGATCATTCTCAAAAATGATTCCACTTCCCAATAAAATGTTTCATGCTTTCAATCACTGCTCTGTGTTATAGAAGCCAATGTTCTCGATGCCAACCTGGCACTTTGTTATCACTACATCTATACCCACTTTGTCTACATTTGTCATGTTGAACAATACCAAGATCACACTCTTTTAGAACAGCTCCCAGCTGGATAGTTTTATACACATGAATGCATCTTGAAATATATCTAACAGGTCCTAATTAAGCATAGAATGGAAAAAGCAAGTCGTACTCACTTGAAGTGGAAAAGCTACAATTCCTAAAAGCATTGAGCAATTCACACTACACTATGTGTATGATATTTTTACAGCCTGAAAACTTTATTTAAATCACCATGGCAACCAATTGATATCAGTGTGTAAAGACCACCACCAGAAACTTTTGACTCAAGCAAGTAAGAAGAACAGAGCGATGTATGCTTATTGCTCTACACAAGCATCATTTCACTTCCCCTTCCCTTCACATCAGTCCAAGAAAAGTTGGCAAAAGGAATGAAATAGATAAAAGCATCTAACTCATTATTTATTTAAAAATAGCAGTAAATGTTACCAGATTATTTTGATAGGAATTGTTAATTCTCAACTTTACTGTGGTATTTTCAGTTCTGTAATGTTTTAACAATATAGACAAATATTTTCCTATGGCAGAAATGGGGGAAAACCTCTTGATCTTGGTGGACTTCAACTCCAATTATCTCTTCTCACTGGCTGTGCTGACTAGAACTAAACTTTCAAAACTAGTAGACAAATATTTTCCTATGGCAGAAATGGAGAAAATCCTCTGGATCTTGGTGGACTTCAACTCCAATTATCCCTTCTCATTGGCTGTGCTGACTAGGACTAAACTTTCAAGACTAGCTTGAAGACATGACCTATACAAGCAGGTCTTCCCTACAGCCATTACCTAGCCTATCTTCCTTTTTTCTCTCTTTCTTTTTTTTTCCTTTTCCCATCTTGCACTCTGTGATTAATTTGGATTTTACCTCAGTTTATTTTTACATTATATGTAAACTGCCCAGAGTAAACACGTTCTAAATGGGTGGTATATAAATCTAATAAATAAATACATATTAAAATAAATACAGTGGTGCCTCGCTTAGCGATTGCTTCGTTTTACGATGTATTCGCTTAACAACGGGGTTTTTAAAAGAATTTTCCGCATCGTTTAACAATGTTTCCTATGGGCGATTTTCGCTTAGCGATTTTGGGACCATGCTTCGCATAGCGAATGCATTTTGGGTCCCCTGTTTCGCTTAACGATGTACGTTTTTGCAATTTTAAAAGTGTCTTAAAATGTTCAAAAACTGTTTTAAATGCTTGGAACCATTAGTGCACCTTCTAAAACATGTTCAAACTTAATTTGGCTTTGTTCTGAGTCTTCGTTAATTTTTGGTGAATTGTTTTCTCCCCCATTGGAATGCATTGAACCCAAGTTTGACAGCTGTCAAACTTAGGTTCAAAGCATTTCAATGGGGGGGGGAATCCGGTTTTCAATGCATCTCTATGGGAAAACGTGTTTCGCTTAGCGATGTTTTCCCATAGCGATTTTTTTTGGAACCAATTAAAATCGCTAAGCGAGGCACCACTGTAATGGAAATTGTATTCACACAAAAGGTCTGGCACTTAGACAGTAATATGTTTGCATATGTGTGGATTGGGTCTTTCTGCATGCAAAAAGCTCAAGATTCAATACATGACATCTCTAGTAAAATGGTAAGATGGCACATAAAAGAGGAGACCTCTGCCTGAGATATGACAGTGCTGTTACCAGCTAGAGTGCACAAAACTGGGCAAAATGGACAAGTAGTATCCTTTAACAAAAGGCAGTTTCCTATATTCCACAATTTGATATGAAATATGTAACAAGGCAGTAGGATCTAGGAACTAGGTGAGATTTTACTGAGACATTTTTAGAAAACTCCAGTAACACTCTGGCTTAAAATTCAAGTCAACAAACTTAACATCCTTCATGAAACACCATTTTGAGAGAATTTGGATCAATACTGGCCAAAATTCCAGGGAAAATTTACACCAGCATAGATGTAATTGCATAAATATTAGCAGCACATTGCTGTGAATTTACAAGAAGGCAGTCATATGCTTGGTTTCATCCCAGTTGTGTGACTTGGCATGTCGTTAGGAATGGATGTGCAGTTTGTTAATTAGCAGCAATTCATCACCACAATTTATGTCAGCATCAACCCTCAACAAAACTCGAGTCATTAAAATTAAAGAGATTTCGTAACTGAGTATTTTGCTTGCAAATAAAATCTAGTTTGTGTTTACAATAAAGACAAATTGCTCTTCCAACAGACAACAGATACTGTAGGTCCTACCTGTGATAGTTCTTGAAATAATTCACACTTTGTTTTCTAATGGACTCTTGCAAAACCTCTGACTTACTGCCACAAAATTCCTCTCCAACTTGCATCAGCCTACAACAAACAACAGCCTGACTTAAATTCAACATCGACATGTAACTAACTATATCTGAAGGCACATCTAACCCTTGCGATTCTTTAATTGTTCTGGTTCCCCATGAAAATTGCATCTTTTCAATATCTTCTTAGGAGACTAATAAATAAAATGCCCAAATATTACTAAAGAAATCCATAGAAATCAAATTCCAATTTGGACCAAGATTGCTATGTAGATGTGACCTAAGGTGAGTGGAAAACCTGGTGTGTTAATAGGCAGTTTTTGCTTCAAAATAGACTCATTCACACAACACTTAAAATCAGAATGGAATTAAAACCGGTTTAGGATTACATATCATGTGAATGATCCATATATCATCTAATTACATAACTATTATTTGAAGACGAAGATAGCTTTGATGTGGCCAGGTGAGGGTGGGGAGAAACAGTTGGCTTGATAATCTAGGTAGATGCAAGAAGGAATGTAATACATGCTACCTGTCACCTTTACTATACAGTAACCAAAAAAAGCAGGGGAAAATGCCTTTCCTATACAGTACTCTTATTTTGTCATTTCATTAGAATGAATACCTGCTGACAATATCCAGGACAAAGATGAAGTCATCATATTTGAAGTTAGACATGTCTGTGCCCAGCAAATAGGTTTTCACTTTCAACTGGACATCCTATATAAAAACAAACATATTGGAAGAACTCTTGAGACTTACTATTTCATGTATTTACTCTCAATCACTGTAACTGACATTTGGTATGACGATTTTAGGATCATAGCTGCTGAACTTTTTAAATACATCAAACATCTAATATACTTCCAGGATGGGTTGAAGCTGTTTATCAAATGTTAACTTTTTCAAAATTTAAGAAGAACTTGTACTCTCAATGCACACTGTGCAATCTGTGCATCAGTGCTTTCACAACCACGTGGCTATTAGTATATCTGATTAAGCAATTAACTAGATCAGAATGTTGGAGTTTCAAATGCTAAATCTTTACTGAGGTCAAATTACCTTGGAAATCCTAGAACTGCTTATAAGATAAATGCATTTTAAGAGATTTTGCATATACTAGAGAACACAGTGAGATTCCAAAGAATTTCATTTACTGTTCCATCACACAATTCAAAGGAAATTTTTCATTGGCTTCAAACATGATAAAATATCCATGACATAAACACTGATTGCCTATATCACTGTGAAGCCAAAATAAAATATTGAAATGGCATAAGACAGCACGCCACAGCTATATATTAAGGTCTAATCTTGATTTTTACATGTTCTATATTAGCTGTATTCAACAATTGCTACCCTGTATTAATCAGGGTTTTTTTTAGAAAGAGAATGTTTTTCAAATTGAACACAGTGGAAAAGCCAGAAATGCAGTCTTTCTCCTCCATTCAAAACAAACCTGCCATATTCGTGAAAGTCCATGTTCCAATTTCTTTTTCACATAGCTACGGTCAAACGTACTCTCCTCAGCACCCATAACATTGCTTCCATCTGGAAAATAATTAAAGCATTTTTCATATATGCTGCCAGAAGAAAACAAGTTAACATTTGCTATTCAGGTGAGACAAAAACTCAGACTTTGCAGGCATGCTTCACTTATTCTGAGTTTGCAGTGTAAAGGATTTCATATATAAATGCAAATAAGAGAATGTTACAAATCACACTTTAATAATATACAGTCCTGTAAGATGAAATTGTCAAGGAAAATCACTGTTACGGGGCCAGAGATACACCACAGTTATATTAGCTGAAGAACAGGTATTTAAAATATGTTCTGCTTAGACCAGGACACAAGGGTAAAAAGCAGTAGGATCATGGTATCCACAGGGGATTGGCTCCAAGCCCCCCCCCCATGCTGAAAAATACAGAAGTATTGAAAGCTATACATTGCATGATCATTGGCTCCCTCTACTGTCCAGTTCTGGTAAATACGCTTACACCACTGTTACATTAGCTGAAGAACAGGTGTTTCCAATATGTTCTGCTCAGACCAGGACACAAGGGTAAAAAGCAGTAGGATCATGGTATCCACAGGAGGGCAACTCCATAGCCTACTGAACTGCAACCCTTTGTGATCCGTTGATATTAGCTATGCAAATAGGGTGGATGGGAGATGCTGATCAATATCAAAGGCTAAACCTATTTGGGGGGGACGCTTAGAAAATACATATAAACAGGTATTTCTGGGGTTATTTTATTTAGTATTTTCAGCCAGCTGGTAAGTGAATCAGCAGATACCTATCCCACAGTTCTGGGGGGTCGGACTGTACAGCAAAAACCCACATTAAAATGTTGCAAAAATACCAACTTCATCACATTGAAATCATCAGATGAAAACCAGCAGTTTTTGTTCATATAACAAATTTCTCCACGCCAGCTTTTCAGAGGAGACAAACAGAGCAGAGATTTTATAGTGCAGCGCCATCTGCAGACAATACTGCATCATATATATCAGATCAGCGGGCAACTCCATAGCCTACTGAATTGCAACCCTTTGTGATCTGTTGATATTGGCAATGCAAATAGGGTGGATGGGAGATGCTGATCAATATCAAAGGCTAAACTTATTGGGGGGGAGGGAAAGGTTGCCCATTTCTGCACTAAACAGTGGTTCAAGTAACCACTTACAAACTTCAATGCATGTCATCATTAAGGCCCAATTGCATTCCTGCTAGATCCCAGAGACTTAAAATGAGGACAATCAAGCAACTTAACAATCAAATATGAAGAAAGCACTCAAATTAATGTTGAAACACTAAGGTGCACACAGCACAGATTAAGGGGACTGGATTCTCAGAAATGATTCTTGAAAATGTGGACTATGCATCCCACACTTGTGCTTTCCAAGATCACTTTACAGCGGTGCCTCGCAAGATGAATTTAATTCATTTCGCGGTTAATGTTGTCTTGTGAAAAAATCCCATAGGAATGCATTGAAATCTAATTAATGCGTTCCTATGGGCAAAAAAAGTCAGAACAAAATCAAATTTGGTTTACAAAGGGTTTATTAAGTGCTCTTTAAAGCCATACATATTGTGCAGATGATTTAAAATTTTTCAATCACAAAACTTTAACTTTTTAAGCATCATATAAAAACATTTAAAAATCAGCAAACATGAGGCAGGTACAAAAAACGGAAAACATTCGTCTTGCGAAGCATCGCCATAGGAACATTTGTTTTGCGAGTTATCAACCCCCATTGCGAAAACCATTTGTCTTGCGAGTTTTTTGTCCTGCGAGGCATTTGTCTTGCAAAGCACCACTGTATTTGTATCAGCGCTTTGCTAGATCTAACTTTGCCCATATTCAATACCTGACTAACACTTGGAAGTGAGTCATTTCAGTTGCTGCATGAAAATGTAAGAAGTGTTATCACCACGTCTGTCACACATCACTTTTGTGTCCAATGGGGGCTTACTCCTTTATAGGTTTGCTCAGGAATCCAGTCTCATAGTGATTGCAAATGGTAATGCTATGGTAATGCTATCATTAAAATATCATTCATAAATCTCTGTAAGCCCCTAGAACAGTCAAATTAAGACTAAGGGATAGCCAAAGACTCTACCCTAAATGCCCAAACAAATCAGCTATGCCAAATTTCCAGTCCTGTGTGGGGAAACTGAAAATACAATTTTTTTTCTGTGCAAATGTTATTTTCAAATAAGAAAAGCCATTTCCTACCCGAAGACGTAGATGGCTCACCACAATCGTATTTTTCATGCCACTCCATGGTTCGATAGTAACTGAGCATTACCTCCCACAGAGCTTTGCAGAGGTCAGCAAGGCAAGGAATGTAACTGTCCGAAGTAACGTGCTAAACAACAGGGGGAAAGTTCAATGGAATTACCTTGTTGTCTCTGAATGTAAAGGTTGTGCCAAATGGAAAGACGTAGATGGCTCACCACAATCGTATTTTTCATGCCACTCCATGGTTCGATAGTAACTGAGCATTACCTCCCACAGAGCTTTGCAGAGGTCAGCAAGGCAAGGAATGTAACTGTCCGAAGTAACGTGCTAAACAACAGGGGGAAAGTTCAATGGAATTACCTTGTTGTCTCTTAATGTAAAGGTTGTGCCAAATGGAAAAAATAACAAAAGGGAGGGTGAAAACACTAGAATAAAAAGCAGCTGCACACACCTAACATTTTTGTACCATACAACACAGGCAAATGTCATGTGCAAGGGAAATAGTACACACATTAAATGGAAGCTCAAGCCACATAGTTCTTTAAACACATTTTCTTCTTCAAGTTTAGAAATGTCACATGCTTCCCCCCCCCACCCCATTTTCATTAACCATTAACCGGACAAAGGGTTGTTAAGTCTAACTTGGGTTACTATAACCACAGTTCATGAAATTGGCTTGTTTCCACAGACCACTGTTGATTAAACACACATTGTTAAAAACTGAATATCATGTTTAGGTGTGACAAACCCAAAATGGAAGCAGAAACTTCTAATCCCTTCCTGGCCACTGTGCCACAAGTGCTACCATATAAATTGGCTTAATGTGGGTAAGAAACAGGACCTTCATACATAGTAGCTTTTCAAAAGAGCAGTTGATGTGCCCTGTGTAGGCAAAGTTGGCCACTCTCCAAGCAACCAAAAAAGAAAAAAGAAAAGAAAAACAGCCCTTACTGCTAAGGAGGGTAGGATGATGCAAAGAACCAATGAAACCAGCACCTGCTCCTGCCTGCTCTCTGCTCTGCAGGAATGCAGGGAGAGGGAACAATAAATAAACCCTGAAGCTTTTCCTGTTGGAGTCACCACCATGTCTGAGTATACCAGTATAAGGAAGTCTACCTCCCATGCTCAGATTTCTAAGCATGCAAGACTCCCACCATCCCTTTAGGAAAGAATTTGTGAACTTGTAAGATTGAACTTTTGTTACTTGACACACCATGAGCTTAATGACATTATTATTTCATGTCTCAACGTTATCAGAATCACTGCTTACTAACAAATGCATTTATAAGGGAAAACTCCAGAAAAAAACTGAAAGTGTTTTAGCAGGGTTTTGACTGACAGCAAGGATTTATTTGTCTGTCCGTCTGTTTGTCTATTTATTATTCCTTCCTTCCACTTATATACCGACCACCCCATACTGCAATGACGTGCAATGACGTCTCCATTATGCATTCTGGAAATGTTATACCTTTCCTGCATTCATTTACTATCCCTGTATGGCTAACTGAAGTTCAAGACTCAGAACAGCTACCAACAAAATAATGACTAGAATCCTGCTGGTGCATTTGCAGTGTAAGGCTGATGATATATAATCAGCCGTGGCCTTTTATCTTTAATTTAAAATTTCCCATCTCCCCCCTTCAAGATTCCAAGGCTCTCTAAGAGATCCCTTTGGACCTGGTGAAGACTTTGGGACCTCAGGATGGAGGAAAGGCTTTAATGTCCAAAAATCGGTGCCACCAGTCCTGGTCGTAGCAGCAATTTTGGACATTAAAGTTGCTCCTCCCCAACCCCAGGATTTGGGCAGCATTTCTCACTACTGAGAAACTTTTTGTGTGGGGGGGATAAGCGTTAAATTGTAACAGAAATATATTCAAAACAGCAAATGTTTCATACCGTACAGAGGTCCTTGTACTGAAGCTTCTGAAATTTAGTGTCTGTGTTCCCTGCACACAGTTCAACATACCCAAGAACAACTTGGAATACTGTGTTATGAATTGCTTGAGTAAAGTGCATGTGAAGTTGGTCCATCGCTGTCTGAAGAAAAAGGAAAGAAATTAATAATGTTTATCATATAAACAGCAAGATTTAACTCCTGATGCTGTTTGCTCGCTTGCTTTTTGGTTACTCTGCAGTTTGAGTATTCTAAGTGGCCCATGCCGATCCGTAGCCTTAGCTTGGAATACTGTGTTATGAATTGCTTGAGTAAAGTGCATGTGAAGTTGGTCCATCGCTGTCTGAAGAAAAAGGAAAGAAATTAATAATGTTTATCATATAAACAGCAAGATTTAACTCCTGATGCTGTTTGCTCGCTTGCTTTTTGGTTACTCTGCAGTTTGAGTATTCTAAGTGGCCCATGCCGATCCGTAGCCTTAGCCGGACCAGGCTGCGGAAACAGACCCACCCCACCCCCGCA